TTGACCCGAGGTCAACCACCGGACTGTAGGTTAGCATGCCATTACATGGAGTGTTTGGAGGACTGCTTTTTTATGGTTAGTTTTGTCCGGAGAGCAGTGACCTGTGGTTCATGACAGCTATCGGTGGCATCCAAAACGCGTTGGCCGCGTTGAAGTTGGTCCTGGTCTGATCCACCCAGCCTGTGGGTAACCGGTTCGGTCCATCTTGCTTTCCTTGTTGTAGTGTTTCAAGCATCACGCTGTGATCGGTAAGTGATTCTTTTCATGAAAAATTAACATCCTTTGTACCTTTCAACAGAACAACATTCTCTCTTGCAGGGTTTCAAACTCCACCAAGAAAAGGTTCTCGATCCACCAAGTGTTCAAAGCCAGACGCTATACGTAGACACTCCATGAGACTGGCATAGATCTACATCGGGGACTGTCCCAGACAGGTCGGGTCCGTTGAGTTTGCGCCCAGGGTGATGTGGAACTTCACTCACGTGCCCCCAGCGCCCACGGGGAGCCTCAGCCTCCATTCGAGCACAGAGACTTCTTTGGTGGTTCCTCGGTGCAGCCGGAAGTGGCTGATTCCGTGGGTTCCGTACGCAGGAGATGTCCAATCCAAGTGGCCGAAAACGTCCGTACGAAGTGTTTTTGGGGTTCCGATCCATCATCCATGTCGTGTACTTGGAGGTGCTTCTTGCAGCGGTGAGTGCTGTTAAATCTGTCTATGATATTCTCTGTTGCTGGTGCTTGATTGGTATCAGTGTGCCCGGGAAGGCATGCCCCAGGACAGGTTGTTTTGTGTTTTGAAATGCCCAAAAGCACATAATGAGAAAGACGGACGTGACATGACACTCCTGCAGAGTAACATGGACCAATGAATTGTGCAGCAGCATGTCGCACAGCAGAGTTGCAGCTTGCAAGCGGCATCATTGCTGGTCTTTCTCATCGTACAGCCGTAGCATCTCTGATGTGTTGGAATTAACATCACATGAGTGGGTATGGGTTGAAAGGCCACCTCCTTGTTAGTGCATGATAGGCTACCTGGGTGAAAACAATTCTCTTCACATCTAGGCTCTAGGCATCTAGGGATCGTTGCGTTGGCTCTAAGCTTGAAGTCTTATCAATTCTCACGCTTGTGCAGGCGGGACAGTGTGAGGTATCGAACGATCAGTTGAACCTTTGTAGTTGCTTTTGTCTTGCAAGCCTTGCGAGTGCGAGCGGGAGGACGTGCATTGGATGGTGAGGACCACACAAGTCTTCCTGCCGGCCCTTGCAATATCATTCAATCGATTATGATAAAAAAGCGATGTTGGGCGATGTTGGTGCAATCAGCCTTGCAGACCGCGTCAGTTGACAAATGCCATTGGAAGTCCGTTCAATACTGTGACCAGACTCCTTTGTTGGAGAATCCATGTGGACGTTCTCTCATGGCACAATGGACTTTAGTGGACATCTGTGTGAACTGTCCTAACATCCACTTTCACTGGCCTCACCACCAGAAACAGCCGGTCTATGTTCCATGATGATGAAGTTGAACTCTTGTGATGTGCTCCCTTTCTGCAAGTGCTGAGGCAGCCGAGTTGTTTGGCTCTGGGACCGTTGGTTTCTTTTCTGAACACTTCTGACTTGTGGCGGTACTTTGCCAGCGAACGCACATCATGGGTTTGTCCCAAAAAGAAAGCCTGGTACAGTACAGTACGAAACATGGGCCTCATTGACCATTGAACCTGATGGCCAAAGATGCTGTTGACGACATCACACTTGACTCTACATGCCTAGTTGCCTAATGACAGTCGTAGACCATGATTGAAAAGGAACAACACCCCACATCTTTTTGGGTATACTTGTAATGCTGGGTCTTTTGCCTCTGACTATATATATATATGCACAGTGTATCCTTTGCCTGGCGATTCTTTGGTGCTTGTCTTTTAAAAGGATCACACTTGGGTCAGGGCACCCATGAGCCAAGCCAAGGTCCACGTCACCTACGATTTGCCGGTGACGGTGCAGTGCGGCGTGTTGACGGGCGAAGGTGCTTCGCGCGATCGCTCCCCGCGCGAGCACAGTGAGTTGGATAGAATGAACTCACACCATCTGAGATGAGGAGGGGTCACTGTTTTGGTTCAAGTGCACAAGAAGGGGTTCCTGGAGGAGAAGCTTATCATACAACTCACAACTCTTTCTTCCAACCATGAGTGGAAAGGCGGTGAAGAACAGATGTTTACACTCATAGGCACTCATAGGCTCCAAGAGAGCTTGTTTGACACCGGCTTGTTTTATGTGTGTGTGTGTTTCTTTTGGTTGGTTCGAACTTCTGTTCTAACTGCTTTGTGCTATGTTCCTCGATGTTCTAACTGCTTGGTGCGTCACCGGCGTCGCCCCCCGTCTCACCGGGCCCAGCGAGGCGTCGCGCACCTGGCGCCCGCGGAGGATTTCACGGGCGCCCGGAGCTTCGTCGAAGCACCTTGACGCGGACCGCCGAGGTCGGTTGATGTGGTCGGGTGATGCGGACGAGGGAGAAGACAGGCGAAGCGAGAGGTCTTAGTCCCGGAAGAGGTTTGTCTTGCTTTTGGCATGGCTTGCGTGGCTTGTGGGGGGGGGGGCCCGGTGGAGGTGGTTTCAATTGGGTTTTCCCATGTATTCCCTGTGTGTTCCTACTGATTTGCTGATCTTTTCAGGGTTATGCCAGTTTGTGTAGGCACGGAAGATAGAGGGGGTGAAAAGAGGATAACACAGGTTCACCTATAGTTCCATCAGAGTATTTTCTGGGCCACTGTGTTTCACCCGCAAAGTTGCCTGGGGATTGGACCTGAAGTTTTACTCCTTGGTCGTTTGGATTTCAATTGGTAAAGCGATGGTATGGCTCACGAATGATTCAAGGGGGTATGGTGTTCGCTCGCCGTCTTTTCAATAGAAACCAGGTTGGCGGTGTCTTTCTCTTTCAGAACTGATTGTATTTTTTCTGATCCGACCGGATGCAATCGTGGTACAAACAAGCGCAAGACACACTTCCGGAACCTCCCACAAAAAAACACCGAGCCTATACTATATACTGTAGTTAGTTCATGTTGTTTTACATAAGTTCACTCATAAGAGGTTCTTCTGCACGGGGTATGACAAGGAACAGCTACGGTCTATGGTATGACGAAACAGCAGGTCGAAACTTCTGCCGCTCATCCAGAAGTGTCATGATGGTGACGTGTGTGGCTGACAACATCGAACTTTGAACTGAAACATTTTCCTTGGTCCGTTTGTGAACTTGGGCGCTTACACATTTGCCGCCTTCACCATATTATATGTACCAATGTACCATTCCTGCTCTTCCGAAAAGACATCTTGCTTGCAAACATGTTATATAAACGAAGTCCGTATGTCATGCAATTCTTGAATCCTCCTGTTCATGCTTGTTCAGCACTCGGTTGACCCCTCATATCTCCCCTCTTCGCTCCTCTCACCCGTGTGGTCACACCGTCTCACTGGGTCCGCCTGAGATCCGCATCACGGGCTTAGAGCCCTTTACGCAATACACGGTGACTTGCACAGGCGCGGAGGAAGTCGTGAAACCGCAGTACGGTACGGTAAAGCCGGTAGTAGTCCGCGGTTCCATGGAACCGGTATGAACCGGTGGTGCGCAGGTTGGTCAGGTGGTGTGGTCAGGTTGAAATGTCTCTCCGGTTGAGTCTCCCCAACCATAGTGTGCCCTAAGGTAAGAAAAGTATTGGGGTGATGAGAAAAGTATAGGTTCTGCTCCTCTTCGCCGTGATTTTGTCAATTTTTGCCAGCTTCGCCACGCAAGTGTTCAATCTCGCAGGATTCGGACTCGTCATTCTGGGTGGTAGTATGGCTCCATCGGTGACCTTCACTAGTGAAGAAAGGCCTTCTCTCAGCTCTGTTCGTCAGATGGTCTGGAGCAAAAAGATGAATGTTGCCATTCCAAAGGCGCCCAAGTTGACTGGAGATTTGGCTGGGAAGCCTGACTCAGTTCATCGAAGCCAACATAGTCAGGCTGACTGATTCCGCTTGGTTTCTACCAGGTCGCCAGCAATGTTCCCTTTCACCCATGCAGCTTGGACACCTCCGTGTCGCACGCAGGCGTTGTGATTGGCAATCCAGCTCTCAACTCCACAGTGTCTTGGAGGAACTGAAGTTGCAGCCTTCGGTGAGGCCACCGATGAGTCGGTTTTCGAAAGACTTGGAGTCTATGGACGGACGCCGAGTCGTGCGCCAGTCGTGGAGTTCCGAAGCGTCTCCGCTTCGGATCGTCGGGGAATGGGCCCCCGCCCAACATGGATCTTTGAAAAACCGGTTTCTTGTAGCACGCAGCTTGCAGCTGCGAACCTGCATTTGCTCCCCACCACTGTTTGCAAGCTCCACCAGCTACGTATGGCACCAGCTGTGACGCACGGCAGCTCCATCAGCTCCACGCTTCAGGTGACTCAAGCAGGTTTGTCGACGCTGGTGGACACCGATGATACCTTGTCTGGCATCACTCTGGTGGTGGAGGACGGAGCCCAAAGCGACCAGCCGGGTGCTGGAAGGAAAAAGGAAAGGAACACGGAGAAGGAGGGGAAAAGATGGTAAGATGGTTGGTTGGTTGGTTGGTTGGTTCTATTCCCTTGCAGACATGTACCCCTTTTGTTGCCTATCAATAAGTGTCAGAACAAAGCCAGGTCACCCATTTGATACTTCCAAAGCTACCAGAGTACCAAAGCAACGCCAGAACCAGCATCAATCACTCTTAAACCAAGAATCCTAAGTTTATATCACTATAGACATCATAACCCCTAATATACCCCATATATATATATACATATACACACTGAAAATAGACGTCATTCATGCAGTATATAACCTTCATATCCTTCATTCACCCCAAGACATCTCGACGTAACACGGCGCCCGCCCGGCGCGTCAGGCGCTCTGCGACGGCGACGGCGCCTTTGTCCAGCCCATCGATGCCGCGTTCTTTCCGCCGTGGCTCGTTCGGACCAAACAGATGGGGAGGGTTGGATGGGAGGAATGGTGGACGATGGTATGGTGGTGGAAAAGCGTTTGGGCACCCTGTAACAACGATCACTTGTGTTACCAAACGTCTCCAAAGATCTGAAAATTTGAGATCACTTGGGATACATGTTGGGTTGGAGGGAGGGGATGTTTTGTTTTAAATAAATATATATATATATATAGGTCAAAATATTTGTCGTGACAAGGCCATGACTGATGTAATTAGCATGTGGCAGTAGCAGTTTGTTCCTGGCATGGATTTGGTGGAGCTTCTCCCTACTTAGCAGATTTCCTGCTACTCAACTCATAGGTTTTCTTTTGTCCACACATGCGCGAAGTTGTTCTTGCAATCGGATGAGCCTGAGTGCTTGTGGGAAGGACCTAGGCCTAGGCACACTGGCCACGAACCCCAGCCTAGTTGCCATTGTTCACATGGCATTTCGCAGTTTAGTCAATCCCAGGAAAGCAATCCCACAAGATCCCCAAAAAGTGATGATCCTGTCATGGGTCCTCCTGGTAGGGGGTTGAGTCACCTGGAAGAAACTCGCCGCAAGACTGAGGGTGGAACAAATCGAAGAACCTTCAAACAAAAACCTATACAGTATATATAGCGGCAGACTTTAAGAGAAATTGTTCATTTGCCTTAAAACCATTTATGATCCTTTATGTTTTCTTTGGCATGTTCCACATGGAAACATTTCTTCCACTTAGGGCGCCACAGATTCTCTCCGCTCCAAATTCTGCTGCGAGGTTCTCCCCAGAGAATCGTCAGTACCAACTCTCCTTGGACGCCGACGCTTGGATTCGATCACGCCGCAATGCCGCTGGACGCTGGATCCAAACGCTGAACCCACCGGGTGGATCCAGAGAATGTGAGGATGACCGCTCTAGGCCGGAAGACCGCTCTACGAACAGCGGGTGCCATTCACCTCCACGGTGCGTCACGCACCGGTCCTCCAGTGTGTCGTACAGCACCAGGAAGAGATGCGGACCACGTGGTGCAGTGAAGATTCGGTGGAGGCTGTGGTGAGGCGGGCGACACCAAAAGTGGTCACGTGAAGGATTGAAGATTCAAGTGTATATAGAGGAGATGGCGCTCAAAAATGTTTTAAAGGAGCATTCGAGCATGGGGTGGGGAGAACCAGGGTGTTCATTCTTCCAACCACTTGGAGTGCATGTGCAGGATCCAACTGCAAGGGACCTCCACCAGCATCTTCGCTCGAGTCACCAACCCCCAGGTGGGGGAACTGGAGGGCTGAAAGGGAGAGACAACAGCTTTGGGAAAGGGATGCGATCTTGTTGACAAGAAACATCAAGAAACATTGACTTTTTTTGATCAGGTGGAAATCGAAACATATGAAGTGGAAATAGAATGAACTAGACGATATGATATATTACACGCTACTAGGAACAGGTGCATCGCTAGTAGTAACAGGTGCCTTACTAGTAGTAACAAGAAGCTACTAGTAACAAGTGCTTCAACATTCAGCAACGATGTCCGCCTTGCCTACTGACGTCTGTCGGTTGGATCCGCTGTCGCCGATGTTCTGTCGGCTCGGCCGTGGCCGTCGGCAACCAGTAAAGGAGTACTGGTACTCAAGGCAACCAGTACTGACTGGTACTCATAGTACAGGGCCCATTGTTTATATATTATTTACTGGCCAGAAAGATCATAGCGGGGATGCAAAAGCCCATCCGGGAAGAATCAGCCCTCCACCAATGACATTATACTTCTCCACATGTTTTTCCCCAAACATCACGAAAACAGCTCCGTGCTGCTTCAGTTCCAGGCGCAAGTGCTACGGCAAGAGCTTCGTGATGCGACCACTGGACAACTCCCGGAGGATGTCTCGCCCAACGCGGTGGTCCAGGTGGTCGAACCCGATGGCGGTGTCGAACCCACTGGGGAATCGGAATAGCAAAAGTGGCTGCCCGTAGATGTGAATCTATGTGTTGGTGTTGTTTTTTGGCCACCTTCAATCAGACATGCTGCTGATGTCCTCAACAGAGAGTGCCAAGTCTTTGAGCATGGAGACACCACTGGGTGGCCACTATGCTGCGAGGTGAGCATTGTGGTTGATCCAGCACAACTGGGATCCTTGTCAAACGGCGGAAGAACTGGTGGAGAGAATGGTCGGACGTACTGGTTGAATACGTTGAGAGTCGGATTTGAGCGACAACATTGACACGTGCACATTGACACGTATAGCGTGAGAAGATTGGACTTCCGTAGTGGGCGGAAGCAACTGAGTTTGGACCTTGTTGTTCAAGCACATCCAAGATCCACCCCAGCTCCAGCAAGAGACAGTCCACAGATATGACCCGGCTTCGGCTCGGGCAAGGTGTGTGACACGCTTGTAATTATTGTTGGACGGACAACAACTATCACCAACTGATCAACAACCAACAACGATAGTCACTCGATTCTCACGGATTGTTCTGCTCAGACCAAAGAGGGAGAATTGCCGCACTCATTAAGGTGCGGTGCATCAGATCTCATGTATTTGCCACATCCTTGCCATGCTCACCAAGGAGCCACCGCACCAGCTCCCTACGTGGTGGAGGTCGTGCTAGGCCCGCCTTGTGCTCGCTGACCTTGCATGCAGTTAATGACTTGCTGTTTAGGAGTGGACACCGTGGACACCTGGCGAATTGACTTTATAGTTGATATCATCGAACTATATGTGTCACAATTGCTTTCACTCCAATGTTCCAAGATAGTTTTGAGATGTTAGACGTCTTTGAGGTTAAGCTGGTGATCCAACATGACCCAAACACCCAAATCTCTTTTCAACAGCACACACACATTTTGTTGTATCTGTTGTATCCAAGACATAATCAAGCATCCCTTTCAACCACCGATAAGATTCCAACCGCCCCCCTCAGGTGTCGTTTTCTCCCACGCAGATCAATTGGCTGTTATATGTTCAACCATTTTACCATACTGCACCTTCTTCGCGCCTGTCTCTCCAACCAACTCCCACTCACCAACCGTGTCGCACTCTACCGCCATCGCGGTGGCGACCATCGGGAGTTCGGTTCCGGAAGCGGCGAGACCCGTCGGGCGAGGCGTCTTGGACGTTCGCGTGGAGAGCCACAGCTTTCCCGCGCTCGTCGAGGACGACACGACGGACACAGAGAGTGGGGACTCAGCCAGCCTGGTGCTTTCAGTGCCTGTGGGTCTCACTGTCCCTTGGGCAGCAAACAAGGGGCGGAACATGAAGGCAAGAGGTCTTTCAAAGAGCCATCGCCACTGCGCAAATGTCCAAAAAAGAAGGTTGGACAATCATGACATATTAATAATAGTTAATCATATATCACGAAAGGTAGCCCTTTAGGGGATACCTTGAGTTTGTCTTGCGAAGCAAGTGTTGGCGCGTCCGGGTCGAATAATTGATCACTCAATTCAACACCCCCCCCCTCGAATTGATTTCTCAATACAGACCCCCCCCTTGGAATTGATTTTTCAATACAGACCCCTCCCCCCCTCCCCCCCCACAAAATCAATTCTCTCCTGGAGAACGTCTTCGTGAGCCTCTCATGATTTCAGGATAGTTGAAACCCTCTTGAACATTCAGAAAGAGTGCATATGAAATTCTAATCACGAAAGGTGTTCCCCGAGGGGATACGTACCTAGAGTTCGTTTTGTGAAGCACGTCAATTCTCTCCTGGGGAACGTCTTCGTGAGCCTCTTATGGTTTCAGGATCATTCAAATCCTATGATGCTTCGATTCAATTCCGATTCAATGCTTACCGATGATCTGAGCCATGGGGCAAGTTTGTTTTCCTAAGAATCTTTTTGAACATTTCGAGAGCATATGTTTGAACATTTAGAGTGCATATGAAATTATATTTACGAAAGGTCGCCTCCGAGGGGTCCGAGGGGATAAATCACCATGTCGAACATTGCGTTTTTGTTCCTGCCTCTCGCGTTCTTTTCTCTTCCCGCTGTCCTACCTTTCGTGTCTCCCTCCTATATTTGGTCATGAGTCATGAGATCTAAATCATGATAGATCCATTCTCATGGCATGTGGATTGAGTATGTCCGTGGTTGCCAGATGCTGCAGGACTTCATGCAGAAACCGTGTGTCAGATCATGCTGATCTATCCAATAGACCCATCCATGCTAGTGTGTGTGTGTGTGTGTGTGTGAATCTCACACGGGAATCCACTTGATTGCAGATATTGGGCCACTTGCCCTGCCTCAATTGCTCCACACTTCCCGACATTGACTCTCATACTATCTGGAGAGGTCTCATAAAACACCACTCTTTGAGTTCGTCACTCCTGAGACTTCTCATTGATCATCGGGTGCAATCCTTGGAATCCCAGCGGGTGCAATCCTTGACTCATCCCAGCCGTCGGCGGCCATCGACTCGGCGGCCGGCTACTTCCTCGCCATCGCAGGCCTCGGAGCTGAACTTCCTCTTGGGGCCTCACCAGCAGCAGGCCACCTTGAGCAGTTCCGAAGCCGCCCCACAGCAGGAGGGCGAGACCGTCCCCAGGCGCAGCCTGCGTGGCCGTGGCAACGTCCATTTTTTGGTTCGTTTTGGATTGGTTTGAGCGCACGAAGCTTCGGTCGTCGTGCGTGGTGGGAAGTGTCCGGTGTGTTCTTTTTGTTGAGAGAATTCTATCGCCTCATTGTCCAGGTGTGGATTATTTGGTCGTTTTAGCCGCACTTCACCAGCATCCTGACACAACATCATGGAAGGTGGAACGTTCAGCTGGACATTGTGTGAGGATGTAAGACTTTGTAGGAGTCTTCCTGCCTGCCAGGATCTTGCTCACCTTCGATTTCGCCAGCCTTGTTGGAATGGGTGACGGGCTTCTGGGGCTGGAATCTGAAAAGCGCACGAAGAAGAAGAAGAAGAAGAAGAGTTCGGAGCCGCATTCTAGTCACCTCCCCCCGGACCATCCATGGGACTGGAAGAGTTACGACCGCATGGATGGGTCATAAAACGGATGGTAAATGGTGTAAATGAGGTAAATGAATGAGTAACTTATCATTTTCATGAGGTAAATACATGCAAATACAATGTACTGTAACTCTTCCAGTCCCATTCGTTTGTTCTGGGTCTTTCTGGCAAAGGTCTGACCGCCACGTTCCAGTGGTTCCCCAAGCGTCACTCGGGTGGTTCGCCCAGGTCTTGCCTTGGCCGGTTTGGGGTTTCCTTCCGACTCATCGCTGCTTGCATGTCTTCACAAAATTGTTTAAATTGGAAATCCACTCCAGTCGGTGGATTCTGAAGATATGTTTCGAACCCAGATCCTGGCTCAATGGAGATGAGTCGTTGCTTTTTGGTTCAGACTTGTTGGAATGCCCCAAGTACAGCTCTACCAGTGGAAGCCCGACCGGATCCACGGATTAGGCTGCCGTTGATCATTCAAATCCAACCCGCTGCTGGGAGCAGCACCCGCGTGGTGAATATCTACACGCAGATCTCAGCGGCTTGATGCAATCAATGAATTGTACCAGAACCCTCTTGTCAGAACTCTCAGCGTTTTGAGGTCTGACTGCTTGAAAGTGAGGGACGGTCAGGGTCCTCTATGGGAAATGATCACAACATGACATGTTCACCCTTGGGGAGGACCAAACAAGCAAGAATTTGACATTGTGGTTTACACCAGCTCAATGTTTGTGATTCTCTTTTGTTTGAAACATCCTGCTGTGTTAAAACAGAAAGAACACACAGTTTGCAGAGCTCTCCCCAACTATGCGTTCATCAAGCAAGTGCCACTCCTGTCACTTGATGGACAAGATTGAAATTATGCAGGAGCAGTAGGTACCAGGCGTGGGGTGTCCTCGAATTAGTAGTATGGTAGTGGTAGCAGTAGAGGTAGAAGTAGAAGTAGTGGTGGTTGTGGTGGTGGTAATATATAGTAGGAGGAGGAGGAGGAGGAGGAATAGCAGTAGAAGCAGCAGGAGCGAGAGTAGTAGTTTGAGTACTTAGACTCGTGCAAAACGCTGGAACCGAAGCGTAGTAGTCGCAGTCGTAGTCCCTACAGTCGGCTGGTCGCCCTACCGAGGTCAGCTTTGCTGCTCCCACAGTGATCACTGTGGTCGCTAGGCGTTTTGTTTTCGCTTCACAGGTGGAGTCGCGTTGATCTTCCAACGGCTGTGCAGCTGCGGGTGAATCAATTCTTGGAAGATCTTCCATTTATCGGTTATTTATTAATTATACAAAAACTTGATGAAGGGGAAGTGTGAGTTGCTTGTGCTATTGATACAGGGTGACTTGGGGGTGTATTGTTTTCAAGACACATGGACATCCCTAGAACCATCAAGAACCAATTGACTCCATGTTGATTTTACAACCACTGACCATGTACTCGTAGTCATTGGACTTATTTTCTACATAGAAAAAACATGGCCTGGGGCTGAACTACGCATTGCGAACTGGGATCATCCAAAGGTGGGTCCGACAAAGAACCTTTGGATCGAAAGAGACACAGAGTTTGGGATCTGGACACTAGTATAGCGATGCCCTTGCTCCTAGTAGCAATGCCAAAAAATGTTAAAAAGGAGGTACGGTATCGTACTTTGTTTGGAGGAATATCCGTTTTACAGTGTACGGTTCTTACTCACTGAGCACTGAATTTCGCCTGCGACTCAATGTGACAACCGTTCTTTGAAGAAACAGAGCATGCAAACCAGGTGTGTTAGACCTGGTGACCTGCGACGACAGGTGAACCCCGCTTCGCCTCGGTGCGGAAGCATCCGTAGCACCCGAGGGGACGCGCAGGGTGGGGACGCGACACCGAAGCTCCGAGGAGACGACGCAAGTGAACAACCTGGTGTCTTTGACAGAGATCACCTTTGTGACCATCACAGGGAAGCTTGGCACAGATGGGAGGGCGGGGGACTGCGAATTCCCGTGCGCTCGGAGTTGTTCAGAATGGCGCATCCACCGGAAAATGGACCGAAACGAGTCCATTCAATGGAGGATTGTTCATGGGACCAAAGCGGACCAAAGACCGTTTAGTTCTTTTGATTTGCCCGATGCTGGAGATGGGCTAGAGCACTGCTGGCATGCTTTTTTTTGCAGGATATTATTCCAATGGCTCTGTAGCGTCATGTAGCGTCGTATCTCTTCAGCCAGCACAAGCTTTGCACATCTTTGCACTATACTTTTTGGCTGCTTCCCCTGGAAGATATTAGTTTAATACGCTTGCGTTGCATTATATACAAAAGCCCCCCACGATTAACTGGTTTTACCAATAAGCAGCGATTGTTTGCAAGATCTAAACATGACATCAATGTGATACATGTTCTTCTCAGAGTACGCCTTCTATGCACTGAATAAAGGGAACAAATTCTCACCCCGTGCAGGGCCAACTTGGCGCTGGCGGATGAGCCTTTGCAGCTGAACGCCGAGATCTTCATCGCCAGCATCCCCCCCCACCTGTGACGACTCCGCCGCCTTGTGGCATCCGCCGGTGAAAAAGCGATGGGTTTTTTTTCTGCGACGGAATTTCAGAGGTGATGGTGGATCCATCGATCGTGGGTGATCTATTTGGGAAATAGGACAGTGATCACAGAGACGTGCGTTAAAAAGGGTGTATATATATATATATATTTGGCTGGCAAACGGCAAACCTGGCTTGAAAAGAATCGGTGGTATTTCGGTTCTTGGAAGAACCTGGCAGGCAGCTCAGATCGTTTTCCTTTGGGGAATTCTGGCCATGATGAGGAACTCGTGCTACGCTTTTAGAATCTTTTAGATGGTTTGCTTCGTGTGATGACCCAGGAATGCCGCGCGGCCGAGCTGCAGCGTTTGGTCAGCGACGGTCTTGGAGAGAACTTGTGTCAGAGCACAGCAGCTTGCACTGAGAAGAAAGAGACCTCGAGACATTCAGATCAAAAACGGTCTTCATTTGGCCCAAATATTGGACCCCTTATTCATGCATTGTCCAATTGCATGAGAAGACTACGAACACTCGAGTAAAGTTTCAGGAAAAGGATGTCTTCCACTCACCTGCAGCTTTTCCATTTGCATCGGCAGGTCCAGGTTGTGACTTTGCAAGCGGTGAGAAAGCGACGTTCTCGTTTCAAAAGTGACAGATAAGTTAAGGATGATGAGTTGTCCACCCCGAGGTCGTTCCTGATTGTTTTGTGTTGTTTGAAACACCACCAATGAGCACCACCACCACCACCACCACAAACCTTAAGACTCAAAACTTAACATCGCCCTCGTCATCGTCATCCTGCGTCCTTATCACTGTCATGAACAACAAAAACAGCTGATGTTGACAACGACCCTGACCTCACAGTATCTCTGTTCAGCCATCCACTCTCAGGTTGTTCTCTCTACCACAAGCTTGAGCTGCAATGTGGCACCATCAGGCGTTCGGTTTCGACTTTCAGCAGGGCTGGCCTCTTTTAAGCTTGCTCAACGAACACACGAGTCATCCAGAAAAACTGGTGGATCGGATGGTTAACGGTTTTATGATTTGTTCATCCTGTCGAACGGTGTCCGTTGGTTTTCCGTTGGTGGTTGAACAGATCGGTTCTGTTCGGCAGGCTCTAGTCGGCTCTAGTAATTTGCATGCACCATATGACTTGTTTTTGTCAAGTGGTTTCAGATTCTTGTTCATATGGTTTCCCTGTATATAGTTGGACTTAAAGTCTATTTGCTGAGGTTCATTTGTTTTGCAGACCATTGAATTTTAGACCGTTGAAGTCTTAAATCTTGTGGCGCTGTCTAATAGTACGCGAGTGAGGATAGTTCCAATGCGAAACGTGCTGGGCACACACGGAGGTTACCCATCACAGCTCATCCCAAGATCAGTGTCGTTGTAAATCTTCAATTTCTCCGTTTGCCTCCGTCACCACTCGACTTGAGATCAGGCAGGCACATCCAATGTGGGAATGACTCAAACCGTGGCCCCTGGAAGAAGCTCAGTTGCTGACGACATGGTAGCATGGCATGGCCACCCAAAACAAATTTGAGACATGCACCGTGTGGACGATTGTATTGTTCCCGTGTTCTTCCCACTTCAAGTGCCTCCCGTGCGCCCACCTTCAGCGCCACGCCGTGCTCCGCCGTGCTCAGCAAGCGCCTCCTTGGGCCTTTGCCTGGTGCTCCGGGGCGGCCTCTTCTCGTCCCTTCGGTCGAACGGTCCGGGAGACGGGGTTGAGTGAGGTGAACAGGGTCAACAGGGTCAGGGATTGAGACTTTACGATAGTTTACGATTTATTGGCCCAAAATAGGATAGTGTGTTAATACCCGTTAACCTTTTGGAGGTGCTTGATGGCACTCCAAATGTTTTGGGCATAGGAAACCATCGGAAAAAGATCCACGTGTTTTAGGATGGTATGGCGGTGGTGGTCCACAGAAGAGACGATCCATCAAACCTGACAGTGCCATGCACCCTGTGACCATCGGATGCATAGCTATGGCTCAAAAAAAGGTGCCATCCAAGGCCATTGGCAGAATGACAAGTACAAGGTGCGGTGTTCATCGGTTTCCTGGTCGGTACATGTTGGTACTTTGATCGACGTTGATCATGACATGGGAGATTGGTGTGGGTCAGAGCATGTCAGAACCAACCACCTCAAAATCGAATAATTTGGTGAATCTACCTGGTCGCCTAACTCTCTTTGTGCCAGAAGCTAGGTGCCCATTAGCCAATGTGTTAACAATCTGCCAATTGTCCTTTTGCCGTTGGGGTCATCTACTGTAAAGGGTCCACTTGATAACTACCTTCTGGCAAGTTGTTTTGTGGGTGATGTTGGGTGTGCATTTGAATACGGAGGCCCCCCAAAGCCACCGGTCAAGAGAAAAGGACGCGGCATGGTCACCCCCCCCTTGTTACTGTAGGTGGTCTCCCTACGGTAAAAGTCACATACCCAAATCGAGGGCAATACAAATCTTCACTAAGGAACTACTATTGCGCTGCCACTTTCCCTGAAGCTCTTCAGCCTCAGCAAGTGACGGTCACAGGCTCTGGTGGTGAGAGTGAGCCGATTTGCCCAACGATTTGCGCAAGTCAGGAAGTTCTCAAGAGAAGCAGGACAGTTATCTCAAGTTGGGGTCGGCAAGGATTTAGGTTCCAGGCTATCATCACAGTTGTTGTAGTGGTGAGTCAGAGAGTTTAAAGTCATGTTCACTCTTCCTCAAAATGCACGCTCAGCCCATTGCTGGACCGTCGAAGCCAGTGATTTGGCCACACAGAGATGTCAATAGGACATAGGGTTTGTCCTTTACCTGTAACCGTAGTTTATACAATTTCATACATATACACATGATAGGGGACCCAGCTTGGCAGGGTTTTCATCCACATCCCTCAGTTCCAGGTGTCAACACCCCGGAGCAGGAAGCCTCCTCACCCGAGCCCATCATCGTGACGGTCGGTGGCCGGGCGACACTATTCGAGTGCGATCGGCCGTGAACAAGGTTTCCATGTTGCTTCCTTGTTTTAACATCAAAAGCACGATCCTGATCACGAGACATGTTTGTCATGTGTGCTGTCTTCTTGCTTATCAGATCTCTGCGACTCTGCGACAGTTGCAACCATAACACTACATAAAGTTAATACAAGACTAAGAGGTTGATACCTAGAAACAAGCCTTTGTGCTACACCCCTTCCTGTCTACATATAAAGAGAACACACATCAACATACTGCTTCTTCTGGAGAAGCGAAATAGGGAACAACTCTCCTGACATGTCCCAACTTTGTTTGACTGGCTGAAGTCGAACCCCCCTGAAATCACCACCTGCGATCCGCCAGTTACCCCGCACCGGCAGTCAACTCAAGCTTAAGCATTGATATCACTGTGTTGGAAAGCAATCCTTTGACCTGATCTCAATGCAGCTGCATGGCCAAAGCCAAAGCTGACTGGAAGAAAAGCACACAATCAGAGCTTCAACAACTCTCGGCAGCTTTCAAGGACAGACTCCGACACTATGTTTCTGTTTTTTGGGGAGCTGGCTGGTTCAGATGTAGATACACAGATTTAGCATGGTTTAGCAAAGCTCCCAAGGTCGCACCAATGTCACACAGATGGCAACGAAATCAGATGATTTGTCTTCACTTGTTTTTGCTGTGACCCTAGCTTTGGGTGAGAGTGAGATCTGTTGCAGCAATGCATTCGTTGGTACGACTTAACCCAGGAGACTAAACTGAAGACTTCGAAACCTCGAACGCTTGCTTACGTCGGTGGTTCCCGTTCGTTCGGGACCCTCCTTGACCACTTTCCTCGACCTGTTGACCACCGCAGAGAGTGACACAATCATTCCCAGACAGTTTATCTATGGCATGTTTACCTACATTGGGGTGATTTCAGGGTGAAGATCAACCAAAGGAACAAAAGCCCGCTCTTTGGCATCCTTTGGCCAAAGGATTGCGGGTGTCCCCAGCCGCCGAGGGTTGAGACTCATGTGCCCGCCTGCAATTGGGCTGAAGACTGTCTTTCCTGCATATTTTGGCAGGAAAGCGGTGAGCTAGAAAACCTGGCTCGCGCCGTAGACCTTGACAAGCAGCACACAGAGCAGAAGTTGGAGTCGATTCGTCATGAGAACCATCAATTGCAAACACAGCTGGAAGAACTTAAGCACCTTGACCAGATCGAAGTGTCGCGAGACTGGAATGGAGTTCATGTTCCAAGAGGATTCACTTCTGGATGTGTATCTTTTCACCGGAGACCCTTTGGAAGGGGATTCACTTGTGTCTCGTTGTACTTCAGCGTTCGCCCAAGTGGTCCAACTGAGCTCGTTGTACTTCAGCTGGCATCGCATGAAAGCACCCGCCAGAGTGCAGAATTGTGTATTCCTTGGGGGGTTGTCCCAGTAAACCTGTGAGAGTCGGTCGGAAAACAACTATTTTACCCTAAGAATCATTGGACCCGACCACTTCTGGAGGGTTTGGACCCTGCAGAACGCAGGGGTTTGGACCCGAACCAAACCTTCACCTTTGAGGGTCCTTGATTCTTAGGGTAGAGATGTCGGCCTGCAACTGAACCTATATGATAGACCCCAATGTATTCCCTATAGTTTGTGAGGCTACGGATGGCTAAGACGTAGGTTGGGAGATGTTGGGAGGGTCTTCAAGCCTGGGCAAGTGCATGTTCCAATGCACCAGATTCATCCACAAGTCTTCAAGCATAGTTCATAGTTGAATGTAGTTGATCTCCCTGTAACATTCACAGAATACTCAGTTTCGATTGCTTTCTTAATGAAACCAGTGCTGCCAAATAGACCTATATAAGTTTAAATAGGATACAGAGCAATGTGAAATCATGTTGGGCAATGACTCAAGACTCGACTACGCAGAAGCTGATGTTTGAGCTATTTTTCTTCACCACGCAGACCAGGGTAGAACTTTTGGAACTCCACCGGCAAGAACCATCCATCCATCCACCGAGGACCGAGCGAGCAGCCTTGCGGGCGCAGCTGGATGCAGAGAAGCAGCAGCGCCAGTCCTGGCTCACCGAGAGCAGCGCGATGATGAAAGAGGCAGACCGTGGTGACCTACCCTGCCCGCCTGCGGACGCCGCGGACGGAACGACTGGATGTGAGGAGGTGTTTGGTGATGCGGACTGGTGGTTGGAATGGTTTGGTGGAGGGTTGGGATGGTGGTTGGAGCTTAGACTTTAAAACGACCGTGTCTGCTTAGGGCTGATGTGCCGGTGCCCGGCCAACTCCACCACGTGGGGATTGTGAATGGACACCTCGGATCTCTTGCAAGTGATGTTGACATATTTTGAGCATCCGTTGTTAGCGAGAACATGTTTCGACTCGATTCAGAGGCATTTCGTCTTCGGGCACCACGACTCACTCCAATTCAGTCCAATTCATCACGACTCACCCATGACACTTGGCGACTCCAATTCATTCGCAAAACATCTGTGAATTCCCTTCTGTTGGAGCAGTTTCACAGCGGGGAGGCCACTTGAGATGTACTTCAACTCTCCCGCTCTGACTTGCTGGGTTTATGACTTCATGCTTGGGTTTCTTCTGGGCCATCGAAACCCATTGTTTTGGCTGTGAAAACTCGCGGAAACGAGCCCACGACCGACGCGGAAGCTTCCTCGGGTACGCCCACGACAGGTGCAGATGCTGCGACAGCGTCTTCGCAACTCGCAGGAAGAGAGTGGCCGTTGGAAATCGGAATCGAAGAACATCGAGGAGGAGTTCAAGGTCGGGGTCTGGGACTCATGAAACTGAATGAGGGTGAGGGTCTGGGTCACAGACATCGGATAGCCATCGGACTCTCCTTTGAGTGCTTTTCACCTTCCAGGAATCTTGGAATACATTGAACCAATCCGGGGATTGGTGCCGGACGGGACCCTCAACGCCCTTTGCAGAACGCCCGATTTCAGGCTCTTCAGCAGCAGCAAAAGGATGAGGAGCAGAAACAGCAGGCTGGTGATGCGCGCCGATCATCTACACAATCGTCACAAAATAAAGGTCGGGGATTTGCAAGCTAAAAGCATTACATACTTCCTTGCAAACCACCCCAAGCAATGGTTGGTCCAGTTCTTGCGTCTTAAACCTATATGTACTACGCCAGCACTTGGGATTTGAACGAGACTATAAGGCTCGAGTCTGGTGAAGGGAGGATAGAAATCTCTGACCATGCGCCTGGCGAACAGTATCTCATTTTTCCACAGCACCTGTGCCAGAGCTGGAGTGGGTAGTGCGGTACGGTCTAGTGCGGTAGATGAAACGGGTTCACTTGATCACCGTCAAAATTACATGGAGGATGATCCAAGGATTGACATCCTCCATAGCCTGCTACGTAAAGGACCAGGTGAGCCGTATATAATGCTACATTATACGTTGGTGATTGCGGATGATTTCCATCCACTGGTTGAGCACTTTCCTTACCAAGCCTGGCTGGATCTTTTTCATGTCCCAAACCACTGTTTGGTGACCAAGTGCAGGTCCCAGACCAACCGCCAAGGCCCCTGTTTTCGCCGGACTGCTCGTTTGCTCAGTCTCGATGCTCCATCCACAGAGGCCCTCCAAGAGAAGGTGGCACGTGGGCGAGAGGCACTCGAAACCGAGCGTTTGGCGTTGTCTCAGCTGCAGCAGAGCAATCGCTCCAAAGAAGCAGAGTCAGGTGGGGACGGTTCATGGAGAAGCTATATCCATGTTGCTGCTTGGTATTTGGGCAAGTACTAAGTAGTGATAACCGCTCGAATTGTTCAAGACCAGATTGAACGTGGAGATGTTGCTGCAAGCTGGTGTAGGATTTGGCGTGTCTCAATCTTGGAGAGACCCATTCATTGCCCAATGGTTCTTGGTGCAACTTTCCTTCACCATGGCTTTGTAGAGGTTTGTTTTAATGTGATATGTAATGACAGGAAGGATTGCACGGCATCACTATGTAATAATTACATATACTGTACCTGGTTTTCACAGTTTTCTTGGGTTGAGGACACTCCCTATGTGACACCCCATTCGTGGACTCCAGGCAGCCTTGAGCGTGAACGGCAGCGTTTGGCCGCCGAAGTGGCTCGAGTGTTTCAGGAAGGAAAGAAATTGGAACAGACGCCTGGATCGAGTCAGTGAAGCAATTGCGTTTTATTTTTTGGAATCTGGATTCCGATGGAATCAGATGGAGTTTGGAGGATTTGTTCTGTGGCCAGGGAACTCATGGGGTAAAATCTTTTGGTGTCTCAGGCGACCAATCTCTTGCTTTGGTGGAATCAACCCATTGCCTAATGATTTATAATGGAAAGGGAGGTGAAAGTTGAACAGATGTAGAGTATGATCTTATGATATGTTCTGTTAGTGTATAAGGTCGTTACATTATACAACGCCACTATCCATATTGTGTCGCTATGATATCATGGTTCATATTGATATCAGTTCCTTGTGTCGCTAGTTGTTGGCTTCGACAGGTGATATAACATCCTAGGATTTGCATAGCTTAGTACTTTGACTTCCCCTCAAAAGGATAGCCAAAAATTTAGAAGGACAATTAAAAGATCCACCGAGAATCAAGCAGCATGGTAAGGCCCAAATCCTCCCTCGGTGTTCTCCCAAATCCCTCGGCCGAGGCAGATTGGGCGCCAGGGCACTTCAACGGCCGCACTACAAAGTCGTTTGAAGGCGCTGCAGCAGGAGGTCCATCGCTGGAAAGGTCGCGCCAAGCAACAGGATGCCGAGGCCTGCGCTCTGCGGCAGAAGCTGAAGGAGATGGAGGCAGCCAAAGGGCACACAGGGGCCCCTGCGACGGCGACGGAGACGGCCACAGAGGGGGCGAAGGATCACGTGAGTGGGCAGAAGATAGAGAAGCTTGGGGAAGATGTGGCAGAGTGTTGTTTTCTTTTGGTGAGAAGTGTTTGATTGGTGAGAAGCAGTAAGCCAGCGCAAGGGATGTGTTTTTCGGGATTGTCTTGGTGCTGTGAGTTTGGAGGGGTGCTCCTGATATACTGTATATTAAATATGTATATATAATATATATATATATTATATATATATATATATTATAGGGTATGTATACCGGACCAGTTCTATGTTTTGTTTATGTAACGGTTTATAACTGGAAGTCTTTTGCTTGGCCAGCAGCCTCTTGGTGTGGTGAGGCAGGAGCCCCGAACTCTTCCAGAGCGAGGCCCAGCGAGATCCAGCGAGATCGTGAAGCCCGAGGAGGCCGAGGCGCAGGAGGACAAGGAAGCAGAGACGAGTGCCGTGGAGTCCAAGGGCAGAAAAGAGTCAGTACCAGGTCATGTGCCAGCTGCAACTGTGGCAGATGTGCCAGATGTGCCAGGTGTGCCTGTGCACGAGTCTGGTGCAGACGAGGTTGACGATTTGGAGGCGAAGGAGGTGGTGGTTGAAGAGTTGGATTTAGAGGAGCTTGGGATTCTGGGATCAGACGAAGGTGAAGATGAGGGGTCAGCCGATGGCCTGGAGGAGCTTGGCATCTTGGATGAGGAGGACTGGGGCTTGGATGAGCTGGGCTTGGAGGCTTTGGAGAAGCAAAAAAAGCGAGGAGGCGGAGGAACTGGGCTTGGAGCCTTCCTCTCAAGAGGATTTGAATGCGCTTGGCGTAGAGCAGAGTAAGGAAATGGAGGCCTTTTGAAGCCTTTGGAATCGTTAAGCAGCTTGGAACACCTCCAGTCCAGGAAGTGTTGGAATGAAGTGAGGTTAATTGGCAATCAATAAACGTTGACTATCGTTGACGGAACGTTTGAAATGCTGTCTCTAGATGCCTTTAGTGAAGTTTCAATTTCAGCCATTGTGAGCAAAAACAGCTATATATAATAGCTATTGGTGATGGAAGAATCCTGCACCAACTCACACAGCCACGAATCCGGGGCAGCGGTGTTGCGTCCCATCATAGCTGGTGCAGGGTGTTTTTCCTTCAGCTACTCATGGAGACTGGAGACCGCCTCCTTAGGCCGTTGCGACGAATAGAGCGGCGATTGGTCAACGAGGATTCACGTTTCACTGCGACCAACCTCGGTCACGTTTCCACGTCGCTGAGTTCCGCGTTCGGCCGAAGTGGCGAGACAAAACGGTGTCCGAAAAGTTGAACATCACAGTGTCTATCAGTGTCTACATAACAGGTCATACCGTCGTACCAGCGAAGCATTTGCGTACAGTGGGAACTGGAGCCCAGTGGCAACTAGGCACCTGTTTGATTTCTCAAAGATGAGGCGGTGCGGCCATTTGAATGGGGTTGATAGTAGGTGATGTGTATGTGTATATATATATATATACATTAGGGGACCCTCGACGTGGCCCATAGATCTTTTTGGACGAAGGCTGCATCTTTGGAAGATAGGTGGGGGAAGTTACAAATCCCTATTTGCTCGAGAATTGTGAATGCTGAACCATCCTGAATGGCATTGACACTGACAGCTTCTTAGTTTGTTACAGAAGCATGCAACTGCGGCTATATTGGGTACACTCGAAACATCTTGAAACTATAGTTGACCTGTTACTATTATATTATATACAACCATACAGTAATTTCATCGTTTTAAATGGCGTTTGGAGGCAACACCGAACACCGCTGTGAGAAGACACCCGGCCTTCATGACCTTCTACGGTTTTAAACCGTGACCGAGGAAGCGACATCCCTCCGGAGTCTGTGACACAAGGCTTTTTGCAGGCCGAGCGAGCGGGAGCGCGCCGCGGGACCACAGGAGCTTCGCACCAGGAGCTTCGCACCAGAAGTCCGAGAGGAAACCCGACCTTGCGAAGACCGTTTCTTTTTCCAGTGCGCGCTTCACTCGCGGTCTCCAATGGACAGACCGCGGTCTCCAACGTTCAGGGTGAGATCTTTGAAGGTATAGTAATTGTATGACTTCCATGAACTGACATTAGATCTAACAACTTGTGCTTGAGACATCATTGGTTGAAGTTGGCATGAATTCTACATAATTTAACAAAACCGCCATGTTACAAGATCGTCCTTCGTGTGGAACTCATTGAATCTGCCACACGCAGGTCTGGGTCTCACCCTTCGACGAGCCAGCGGAAGATTTTGCCGATCCCGGTCCCGGGTACTTTCCCTTGTGTGCGGACGTGGCTTGGTCAAACACCCAGTAGCGCCATCGGCGGGCTACTCAGAAGCAAGGTCGCGTCAAGGTTCTCAGTCAACCGGTTTTTGTTTTGAAACGAGTCTTTGAAACAAGACCCAGTTTTGATCGACCCGGTGTCTCACTGGTTGACCAACGTTGAGCCCGGATCATGTAAGAACGTGCAAGTGGGCAAAGTGTGTTGCGTATTGTTTCGTTGGGTTGTCTCACCACACGGTGATTTCCCAGTCACAATCCTCACCTAAAAAGCAGATCAATCCCATGAGTTGGAAGATATAGACCTTTGATGACATGTGTCATGTCAAGAAGCGCGACACACACACACACACACACACACACGCACGCACGCACGCACCCCACCCGAACTGCCTTTTTGGAACTCGACCCGCATGCCAAGGCCGTGGTCTTGGAGGATCGGAGGAGCATTGAGTGCTACCGGAACCAAGACTTGAAGCCTGGAGAAGAAGCGGAATGCCTATATGATTCAATAGTCGTATTCAATACAATAAAACAATAATAATCATTAATAATGATATTGTGATTTGGGAGGGTCCATATTTGCCATGTCGCTTATTCATATGCATTTTCTCGCTGTGTGTGTGTGTGTGTTTGATCTGTTTCCCCACATGGTTTTTCTTCCTCCTCTCGCTTCCGGTTAAGGATGTTTTCCCACATGTTGTCCCGGCTTCGAAGCAAAATCCCAGGAACATCTCCGAGTTGGGGACCGATCTGAACGTCTATGTCGCTTGGAGAAATCCGGGAGAAGTGCTTGTAGGATGTACTGGAAGGAGTAGGAAGGATCTGCGAGGTTGAGGTTGGGGTGACCGGCCACACTCATCGCAACTGCGATTTTGAGGTCCAAATGTCGGGGTCCTTTTGTCATGCTGTCAATGCTGTCCACTTATGAAGTGTCAATGACCTATAGACGTTCAAAGGTTTTGTGTTTGCTAGTATCCTCGCCAGGTCGGCTCATTTGACCAGAGTTCCTCGCATCCAGACACCCACACCCTCGAGGCCCTCGTCGTACGTCATAAATCGCCCCGTACGTAGTACATCGGATCGCCCAACTGAAGCAATGGGTCTGGTCCGTTCCTGAGGTCCAAACGGGGCAATACCAAACCTCCTCCAATGTGCTCGAGGGCGCCATCCAGCTTCTCCTACCTGAGATCATCAGGCAGGGGGGATTCTGGGGTCCGACGGCGCACATCCTGCATTTTGATGTGATCCACCGATCCACGTCTATCAAAATAGGAGACTATGACATCTCCCAGACCATCCATGCTGGAGTCCATCTTAGCTTCATGAACTTTTGAAGGAATCATGTGTGCCAACTTTTGCTGGAGATCGGTCACATGGGAAGCTGGAAGACTGTTGCAGTTCATCTCTAGTCAGTTGAAGCACTCCAGAAAACTATAGAATTGAAAGTGCTCAAGATCACCATGAACATTTAAACAAAGATGTATTTCGAGGTCACTGACGTGCACAAGACCTGACGAGAAGACAGTTTGAGGAACCAACAGAGGGATGGTCACTAGTGCAAGTTTGCAAGAAATCCAGTGGGAGTATGGCTCAGGAATTGCGAGGCAGGAAGTGAAGGACATGAAAAAGAGGTGCAATTTGTTTTATGTGCTTCTCAATTGGAAACAAACTGAAATGACAAGGTACTCCTTGTGGTCCTTTTCCTTTTGAAGTTCCTCCAAGGTAAGTAGAAGCAATTCAAAATGATGTGCTTTTAACTTGTGTCTCCTGTTTCAATTAAAAATCTATGTTCCTTTGCTGTTAAACAGAAGGAACCTCAGTGGTTCAGTTTTAACACCATGTTGAATTTGAAGTGATGCTGAACAACCTATTCAGCAATGGATGCTCAATCAAACGGAATTCTTATATATTCAAAAGGATATTTGTAAGCAAGTACTCAAAAGCACCAATAGATATTCACAGTATCCCCAGTATCCCCCATTGTACTATATGTCCATACTAGTCGCCATGTTTTCCGGTATATATTTAGCGTCCCACGGTTCCACATTAAAATTAGCAGTGGGTTCAACTAGTGAAGGTGGATGGACAATCTTTGGAGTTTATCTATGATCCATCCTCTCCTCTCGTACATCATCTGTAGCGGAAGCTGCACCCTCCCGGGGAAAATCTTGAGAACTAATTCCTCTAGCAGCCGACTTCCCCAGCTTTTCCAAGCAGATTCCAAAAGAGTGTGTTTCCCAACCCGCCCGAAATCCACCTTCTCAGTTCTTCTTCGATGTGCGTGCGACTGACGTGCTTCTTCCCCCCGGACCCCGGACCCCCGGTCGCCCCCGCTGCAGGGTGACCCGGAACCACGAGTACGAAGTGGGCGAGCTGATCGTGACCATCGACGGTCGGCACTTTGGCACCGCTGAGAATGGAAACATGGCACCTGGGCGAAAAGGAGGGCTACCGGCGACCGACTGAGGGCACGGAGGGGACCGGGGTTGGACTCCGAAATGGGGCGGGTTTTGGGGGGGGTCGGAGCAGGGAGATCCCTGGGTGGTTCTGCTGGGTGACCTAGGTGACCTGAGATGGAACCGTTGGAAAAAATCTTTCCTTGGATGAAGAACACATTCCGGAAGGACCAGGACGCTGAGTCTTCCTTTTCAAAGACACACAGAATTGTGTCATGTTCCGCTGAGATGTTCTGCTTTGGGTGTGGGTGGGATGTGTGTTACAGTTGTCGGCATCATCTATCAATATAGTTGCGAGTAGAGGAGCTAGATGACGTGTGACGAAGGTGTAGAGTTTGTCTCAGAATAGAAACTCTTGTTGGATGCAGACCGGACCCATTTAACACTGCCAATGGTTGATACCGAGAGATTCAGTCGTAATTTGTTACATTTAAAGTTATAATATATAATTTGATAAAGTCCCGTATGAGAATGAAATCATCATACAAGTTCCACCCAATGCTCAAAGGACCAATAATAATACTATTTCAAAATAGTTCAATAGACAGTTTGCCTGGAAACGCCTTCTCTTGGGGTCTCAGTCTGTGAGAAAACGCCCAAAACAACTAGATATCAGGGATCCATCCTCCAATGTGGGTCAAGGGCGCTGCGCCACCGAGCTCTGTTCCGAGTCCACCGATCTCCGCCGCTCAGGTGGTCTCTGTCCAGAGCTTCGGCGCTTCGTCCCCCGTGGTCGAAGACCCCCGCTTGGCCGAAGGTTTCGGCGATCCCAGCCACTTGGGTAATGTTGTTTATTTCATGTTCAATCCATTTCATAGCCACTACCTGAACAATTTGTCCCGAGAGTGTTTCTCGCGTTTGCAGGAAGTAGTTGGAAGTTTTCTTGCAAACAACATGCAAGGAAAATACCATCCAATAACATAGTTTTTGCAAAAGTTGTGCGAATGTGAAACACGTGTTTCATGTCCTGGACAAAGAATTAATGTTTGTTTCCGTAGCAACTCCATATAGTCACCATATTGGTCAACTCTTGGATATTTATTTGCGTGTTATCCCGAAGGACAGGGTGATTTCAAAAGACACTGACATTTGATGGCATTGAGGTCATACTGTGAAGTATGGAATATCATGGGACTGAGGAAGTGTGGCAGTAGGCAGGGAAGAAGGATGGACGGGGTGGAGCTAAGAGGTGCTTCGAAGACTTCTGGGAGACGGTTCCAGCTCTCCCTGGGATAGTCTTGGCAATTGGTGGTGAGAAGGCATGGGTGTATCCTGTAGTTGGCATGAAAAGAATGATGGTCAGTGGTCACTTCAACGAGGAGATTGCTTCGACCCTGTGAGGAAGAGATGTGTTGAATTAGTTCGAGGATCCGTGTTGTTTGTGTTCATTATTGTTCATTTGTCGTGCCTGTGTTTGTTGACGAATCGCACCAGCATGGTTTGACATGTTTAGTGGAAACATCAGGAAGAATTGCCTGCGCCTGTTTACCAACAAGAATTACTTTTAGCTACAAGCTTCTGGGGCGCGTCTTAAAACAGGCATATCTGCACAGTCATGTTTCTTGCTGGTAGCCTTCCTTTCTGGGCATGTAAATACAACTGGTGGGTCTCAATGTTTGGGAGCAACGTATTCACTATACAGCCTCGAGTTCGCTTTTTTTGGCTTATGAGTTTGAGTGGTGACATCCATTGGTTGCCATTAAGCATTGTTGATAGAAACAATGCCCGGCCTGCCCGGCCGTCAATGCCCGCAATTGCCTCACCAATGGATGTGAGGATTTCTACAAAAAAACATATGCACTCGTCAGGAGTCACAGCTTCAGCACAAGTCAGCAGTACTTCGTCAGATGTTTCGATCCCACTGACGTCAGCATCCCGCATATGCTTCGACGATGCTTTCGGGGAGTCGAAGGATTGAAGACACCAACGACTCCCCGCGCCGCGCGCTTGCGCCGCGCCCAGCGCCCAGGTTATACGGTGCAATGCGAAACCATCAGCCATACGGACATCCGTTCTGGCTGTCTTTTTTTTGGAGGGGTTTGCTTTTTGTATACACCGTGTGTTTCGTCGTTGTTCTGATTTTTAAGTGACTGTACTGTAGTTTTTTCTGTTGTATGTTTCTTTCTGAAGGGATTTGATGTCGTTTCATGAATTCCTGGCTTTACAAAACGACCTGGCACTTTTGGGGCCAGCCACTCAGGAGATGTTCTTTTTGGCAAGCTCAGTATGGACGAGATTTGCTTGATCTTTTGTCTGAAAGCAAGTCACCTAGTTGCTTTGGTCGAACTATATGTTGGTATGTATGATTGGGTTCAGACCCAGGCAGTGAGGAAAGACCCTGTCGTCCCGGACGCAGGACACGCAGATTGTCTCTAGATGCACTTCAACCCAAACCAACAGCATTTTGGGCGCCCAAGTGGAAGCAAGCCGCTTGGCTCAGGACCATCGTGCAGCGCGGACAGATCAGACACAAGAACGAACGCCGGTCAAACCCCCGACTTCGCAACACATTTCGATGCCAAGCTGTCAGACCAGAGGTTGAGATGCTGCACAAGCCAACTTCCAAGTCAAGTCTCTCAGATAGAATCTGATGATGTTTCAAGTGTTTCAACCCTTGCATGGCACACAGTATTCCAATCGTCCTTGGAACTGAAGGCCTTTGGCATTGTGTTGTACTTTTGGGGGCTGCCCATATAAATTCTCAGGCCTAGACCTTGCAGGACACCAGCGAACCTTCCAGACGTGTTGGGGTCCAGGTCTTTATACCGAGACGGCGCAGCTGGAGGTGGACGAGTCGCAAGGGCGGCGGCTGCAAACGACGTTGGATGAGTGGCCTGGTCGCCGTGGAGTCTCGTCTCGCCCCGTGGGGTTTGTCCCGATAGGGAAGGAAGGTCCAAGCGACGTGGGGTGTGAGTTTGGGTGGTGGCAAAACGGAGTCTCTACCATTCGTTTGTTTCCATCAAAGGTACCCAAACCATCCATTAAACTGGAAGAGTTACATTCTAACCCATTCCATCAAATTGGCGTAACTCAATCTACTCTGCCAATCAGGAGGCATTCAAGCACCCAACCGCCTAGTGTAAGCTCGCCATGACCGCCAGTAGTGGCCTTGATTTGCTTGTAAAGTCCCATGGGTTTGGCCAGAAAGGGGCCCCAAACTCTTCTCTTCGCGTCACCGGGCGACGCCGGGCGTTGGTCGATGTCGGTCGTCTCCACCGAACGCCGTCAGGTTGGCTCTTCAGCTCTCGCAGCTTCCCGTGGCGTTCTCCGTGGGCTACCAGCTGCTTGGGACCGGAGGCGGTGACAGGTTCCGTGGGACGGACCGGACCAGGCGACCAAACACCCCAAAAGCTGCCAGTGGAACTGCGGAACAGGAACTGTTGTTTGGTTGATAAGACTCTTCCCTGGACCTACAGTGACATGACCGCTTTGGAGTTGTTCTTTTTTAGATTGTTTTTAGTACAGGGAGCTGAGCGCTCAGCTGGGCCTGCTAAGGTCGTAGCTGAACGACTAGACCCACGGACCGGCAGCGAATAATGTAGCCAATTTCAGACTCCTCGCCCGCCTGGCCCTGGCCCTGGCATCCGTCTATTGGGGATCGGCCAAAATCCGTCGACCGGGAATTTGAGTCAAGAGTTCTGCGGTGTGTATCATGTGGTGAGTTTGGGGGATGTTGTTTTTTTAGCCGCTAAGCTACTTGAGAGTCGCAGCATTTCCTTTGGCTCTGGCTCCAGAGGAAGCTCATTCTGGCCAAGGCTGATGCGGAATATTTCAATATGACCACGGCATTTAACATGTGGATGGACTCGGATGAACTCTTGGATTTCTACTTTGACCCCTGGTCGGCGGAATTGCTGCCCAAGCCCAGAGTCTGTGACCAGCCACTTGCCAACTGCAACAATATTTGTTGAGCAGACGACATCAAAACAATGTGACAAATGGCTGGCATATTGATCTGATCTCAGGCTGGAGTGCTCCGTCGCTCTTAGGCGCAGTGCGGAAGACGTGGAAAACAGGGATTGGGGTGTATATCAGACTAGGAAGATGTTCCAAAACCGCTGGATTTGCTTCTCTAGTTCATCTTTTTCAATGGGTCCTTTGTGGGGCTTGTGGGGTGCCCTGGCCCTTTTCCAAAAACGTCCAGATTGGCAAACGGAAGTAGTCCTCGGCAGGTGAGTGTTTTGGTTGGAGACTACCATTGTTTTGCTTTGCCAGATACACCCACTTGAGAAGATGCTCCCCTCTAATGGTTTGTCAGTTTGTGTAGCGATACCTGCAAAAATGAATTGTATGAATTGCAAAAGGTGTTTCTACAATTAACATCAAATAGCATTATGTAAGATCGATCATTAAAACAACTGCGGTAGCTCAAGCTTGTTGTGTAACCCCCTTTTCAGCAACCCTCTACGTGTGACCTGTTTGGAGGCAGGATCATAATCCCGAGTACCTATTGAAAAGCACTCCCCAATTAAAAGAAACACCATGTTCGAAACCCAAAATGCGGTTTATTTATATGTGTTTTCAAATTACCGCCCTTTTAAGACCGCTACTAAACTACCAACATGGCCGATTTTGGAGGTGTTTTTTTGTTTATATTAGGATCCAAAAACAACCAATAAAGGTTTTTTTTGTAGGGGAAAAGGAATGAAGCCCTTCGATCTGGAGGTTTTTTTGAATTGTTGATATGATACGAGTTGAATAACGGATTTGTTATAAAATTTTCCTGGGCGACTTTTTGGTTTTGAAGTTCTTCCCAGGTGATCCTATTTTGGGCAACCCCAATTTCAGGGACCCCCCCTTTCAAAAGAGAACATGCACCCGAGGTTTTCTTAATACGGGGGGGCCGTGTTTGTTTATAGGTGGAAGGGATTAGATGCTGCGATGCCGTGCATTTTCCAAGATGAACTCCCAGTTTCATGTTGAGCATGTTTTCTCACTGTGTTGTGATGCATCCATCTCATCCAACTCACAGCACAAGAGGAAGCCCAGGGATGGGTGGGTGGCACTTGGAGTTGGACGGAGTATTTTGCAACCTACCAAGAAGGAGCCAATCATCACTCTGTCATTTTGTCACCTGTTGTAAGGCAACAAGCGGTTTTTTCTTCAATAAAAAAGACTGGACAGAAGACTTGCGCTGAGAAGTACATGGCGCTACCCCACTGCTGAAGCGACAAAGAAAGTGGTGCAAGCAGTTGTTGGAATGCTATGCACGATGCAACACCAGATACACACATGTAGCAGGTGCACATTACCACAAATGCTAGGGTGCCGGTATTCTATAGCAGTCCTGAAAAAGCATTGTACATAGATGGGACGTCCAGTCTGGTTTCCTCAGCCAGAGGGGCTCCGACGTGTCCAGAACATCCACCATCTGAGGGGTCTAAACACCATGCCTTTGGAGGAGTATCTCCAAACACTCCATGACTCCATAGGACTGGAATACATGGACCTGACCCCTGAAATCAACTTCCCCAAGTCAAGCGATCGGTAAACGTCGTAAGGTGATGCGGGATCTCTTAATGAGTTCTCTTTGCTTCAACTAAGATCACAGTCTCAACCGAGAATTGTTCAACAGTTGTGCACGGAATCTCGCCAGGCTCAACCAAAGCTGCGATGAACCCGTTGCGCAGACGAGGATCGCTGGCGTGATCGCTGGGAGGTCAAGGGTATTCATGGGTATATATTGGTGTCACTTGCCGTGGAAGTCCAAATGACTCATTGTATGCCGTAACAAGTGGTGGTACTACATACCAGGTGGGGTAAAAACAGTCATTGGAAGTTCTGGGTTGATGGATAAAGCAGCTCCCTGGGCATGCCAAGCACGACTGAACCAGAGAGTGTAGGGGAGTTGTTCTTTCGTTGTCTGAAGAGGAAGATTCCACGAGTCTCAAGGTAACTATTTAGCGATACTATGGAGATATTTAGACTATACTGGTTCACCACCACTGATGAAGCATCAAGTTGAGAATCCTGTATGACTCTTGTAGGAATTTTGCATGAGGACCAAGTCCTGAGGATTCCTTCCGTTTATAGCACCTCTTTGATGTATCACTGTATCACAGCATAGCCTTGCTATAGCTTCCGGCAGGGAGTGGCAATCGGTCCGCCTGCGACCGTGCCCTGCGGGAGAGCACCGAATCAGCTACGCAGGCGCATCGCGCGTCGCGCGTCAAACAGGGAGGATGTGGCCCAAGATGAAGCAAGTGGTGACCCTCCGACTTAGGAAGATGGAATATATACGGTATCGAAAAACATGGTCCTGGGAAGAGGGGTTTTCCTTGACAAACAGGGGGGGCTCGTGTTTTTGGGATGTTAGTGAGTCGGAGTCGGAGCAGTAATTCTCAGGTTTGTTGTCCGTCAACTACTGGTATCTGCTCTGGTAACTACCAGTAGTGATGATACGGGGTCCATGTTTGTTCGTCGGGTGTGGAATGGAACTTAAATGATTTTTTTGGGGGGGGGCCTGGGCCCCTTCAATCACAAACTGCAGAGGTCATCATCCATTGTGCCATTGTGTTCGGATAGGCCCTAGATTGAAAGCGTTCAATGTTCGAAAGGAGGCGTGTTTTCCCCTCGCTGCTCGCTAGGTGTCGGCTGCCTGCAGTGTTTGCCTGGCTACTACAAAAGTGCCTCGGTCGTGATGACGTCAAAGGCTGTTTTTTTGGTGGCTCGTGGCCACAGCGGGTCCTGCCTGTGACAGGGTAGTCACACCGAGGCACACTTTTAGCCGAGAAAGCACAGCACGGGCCTTTTTGGGGTCCCAGGTCCCTGTGGAGAAAGCCGTGCTCAACTCCAAAACCTGCCCAGGAAAAGCGGATAACCTTTATACAATGTTGTTAGGGGGGGTTTCGTTTCCCCACTCAAATCCAACAGGTTGCAAGTTGGATTAACCTTGATGTTTCAAGGATCTGCGGGTTGGAGGGTGAGAAGAGGACCCCAAATATCAGCCACCAGCGAATGGTGCAGAATTGTTGTTAATCAATGACCACTTTTTGCCTTGGCGAACCATGGACAATTCCGCTTTGTGCGTTGGGGTTCATGATGGTTCATGGGTATAGGCGGGATAGGTAGAGCCAAAGACACCTTGCTCTCACACGGGAGACCTCAAACACCGATGGACGGCTGCCGCGTTTGACCGCGATGCCCAGGTGGAGTTGGTCCGGCCTTGTTCTGCGATCCTTGTGAGCTGGGCTTTTACATGGGTCTTACGGGAGCAGGTGCACCGGCCAAAAAGGAAGCCGGAGAGGCACACTTCATTACTGTGTAATATTTCATTAGGAAAAGTGTATATAGAGATATTTACCAAGAACTCCATTCACAACCTAAACTGGAACGATCTACTGTAAAAGGCATTGCAAGTTGCTCCTCTGGCACAAGCTGCACTAAAAACTCACACTGTGACACGCCAATGTTGTACCCTTAGAGTGCTCCACTCCTTTCGTCCTTTCCGCGACACCAGTGGTGAGACACCGCGACTTCTGCGTGTCAAGGTGCCTGTACTCCATGTCCACCGCACGAGACCACGCAGAACACCAGCTCACGCGAGATCGCCGCCTGCGACTGCGCGGAAAACTACTTCCGGAGGAACTCCTCGGTGGACGCTGGGCGGAACCGGAATGGGGCGGCAGAAGCTTTCGGAGTCCCTGTGGATCCACCGTGGGGATCGCTGAAGTTGAGCTGATGAAGGTGACAATAACAATGAATGAATGAGTGAGTGAGTGGAATGAATAATGGATATTATTATAGAATGGTGAGTCTTTTTGTTGAGCATGTTGATAGCCATTTTTGAGTGATTGACATCTCCAAAGCACTGGGGGGCTGCAAGACCCTGACTGTAGGCTAAGGCAGTTTTGGGATTCCGGACCTTTGCTGTTTGGTGCCTATGGTTCTGGAAGGTCCGTTTCTAAAGTTCTGCTTGGATCGGGCACTGAAGAAGTTTTGGTCGCTTGATTCTCTCCATTCAGGAAACTCTACATCTCCCCACCCCAAACCTACGAACAGCACCCAAAGCGTTTGTCAAAGCGTTTGGTTCTTTGGCTCGGCTCGTTCCTTGTTGCATCTTTTCGCCACAGCCCGGTGTGTCCGACCGGGCTGTTTCCGACCTGGTTCGTACCGAGGATTGGACGCTGGCCAGCAACCATGGCGTTTGCGAGCCATGCCCCTACGGAGCGATTTGTCCCTTGGACCCCGCAGTGGTTTTTTTTGGGACGATCGGCCACGGCCGTGGCGGACGGGCAGTGATGTTTGCAGTGGGCAGTTGGGTGATTTTGTTTTGAGGTCTTGGTTCACTCGACCCATAGTAGTTCTATGTTAATGCGTAGTGTATTGTATGTCCCCACAAAAGGAGCACTCATGTTGCTTGGGATCAAGAAAGGCTTGGTCAAGATGGCAACCACAAGTGAGAGTGCAGCTGTTTTCCAAAGGGGGTGATGACATTTGCTTGGAATGTAGTGTTCCAGACCCGGTCAAGTCAACCTGTCAAACATAGTTGGCTGTCGGGATTCATTGTTTTTGCAACTCACCAGTCCCCAATGTAATATGAATAGGCATAGTACGATACTTTGCATCAAAGGAAAGTTCCCCATGCTGGCAAGCAGATAGTTGGCGTGAGAACTTCAGGATTGTGTTTTTTCTTGTGACTATGACTAAGAGGCCGGCAAGCAACACCTTCCAGTAGAAAACAATCCCTTACACAATCAAATAATTAACATATAATCATATAATCAATATAATACTGTAATCATTCCTATTAATCAAAATATGCGAGCAATGCTTGCATCAAGAACCTAATCCATTTATATAAGTTTCCTATATAGTTTGTTTTACCGTTTTACCCGTTTCAGGCCACCCGAGTGGAGGATGACTCTCCAGAACCCCCGGTGCTTTCTCCACCCGGGTCTCCTCGTTTCGAAAACGGTCTCCACACATACACACCGGACCGGACACCAAGGCGAAGGTGGCTCCGTGTTGCCCTATTCAGCGCCGGGCTTTTGGACACCTGACAGGCGCCTGGGAGCACTTCTGGGAGCACTCCGGGACACCTGACACGGCGGAGGGAGGTCGTGAGTTGTTCGAGGGGACCGTGAAAAGCTGAAAAAGAGTACTGGGGGCCGATCTTCCCCTAAAAAGGAGGTGTTTGGAGCTATATGCGTTATGACATGTTTTGGAAGCAAGAGTTGCTGAATCCAAGGAATGACAGCCGGCCTTGGTTTCTCCAGGTTTCTTCCATCTTTGGTAGTAGGGAGTCCAGCCCGGTGATTTCATGGTGTCATGGTCGTAAATTTGCATGGTTGTATTGTGTTATATTTACACAGTAAGGTAAACACATTGCTTTAATGCATTACTGTAATTGATCGTTGTTCATGTTGATAATGCTTTCCTAGTCCTTGTTTCTTCTTTTTGGCCTCTTCAACCAATGTGTGTTATGGTGGACAATATGTGTTTGTCTCAGATTGATGAGGTCCCAAAGCGTGTTTGCAGCTTTGTCTTCGTTTCACTTGGTCAGAGCTGGCAAATGTTTGATGGTTTGCCAAACCGTTTGACTGAGATGAACGTGTCAGAAGGTCATAGAGTCATATGGTCATCCTCATTAAAGTCGCCTAACTTGTCTATTGTTGCAATGAAGAGCACTCCCTCTATCTCCCTCCAATTAACATTATGAACATGCTTTGGTCCAACACGCCCATTGCCCACCAGACATTTAGGAAAATACTCCGCGGATCTAGGGCAGCAACCAATGAAGGACTCCAAAGGCGAGAATGAGGTCTACACTACTGCTAACAACCTATTGGCTGAAGCAGGGAAAGAGTAAGGTACAGCCTGAACATGAATGCCTGGAAGTGTTTTCCTTGCAAACAACGAGTTTCTATGATTGAAAAAGGCCACAAGCTAGATACCTACTGTCCCCTAATCTTTCAGTTTCGTGTATCAAAAGCATCAAAACCCAATGCCGGATATCCTACCCAACAGCAACCTTTATCATCCTTTATCTTGAGTAAACCAATGAAATATTGTTGGTTCCTTCAAATGGATCGGTCTTTCAAGGTCCTGTGTTGCTTGACCGTGGAGGGTCACAAATAGATGGAAATGATGTCCAGCATTCTTTTACTTGGGTACCACAATATGGGCAAACGACACAGTTTGTGAAAAGTTTGGGGGTGAGATAGAAGACTTGCTTTAACTTTAACTTTAGATCTTAAGTGTTTCTTTGTGGATGGTACGTGCTTTCGCTTGTTGCCATCATCTTCCAATGTGGGTGTTCTTTCAATGATCACATCGACTCACTCACTCGCAGAACACGCACTCACTCACTCGCCGAGCCGAAGACTCCGCTCGTGTCAGGCTGGTCTTCTGGTCCTGCTTCCCAGACTTCGCTTGCCTACAAGGCTGGGCATTTGATCAACGACCGGGTGGCTGAGAGAGAATGAGGGAGTTGTTGAGACTTGGGAGAGCCCATCCCTTGGGAAGGAGAGATTCATTTGGAAGCCCACACATCCGTGAATCGTCCTTTGCCAAGGAAATCAAAAACCCGTGGATCAGGTGTGGATCAGGCTTTGGGACCTGATTCCTGACCAATCTCTGGCTCCCAATGTGCTCAGGTTGGGGCGGATCCCCCAGAGGTTCGCAGGTTCCTTGAGACCAAGATTGGGGTCGCGGGGCAACGCGCCAGGCAACGCGGATGGCCGGGGGCCTCGAAGATGGCCGGGTTGGCCTTGCAGGTTCTTCAGGGCTCCCGAAAAACTCACTAGTGACAGTGACTATATATAGTTGACTGTAGTGAGGGTATGTGTGTGGGGTTGTGTCTCCTTCAGAATCCAAAACAGTCTCAAGTTCATTCCTTTTTTGAAGGAGCAGAGCGATGAACGACTGTTGGGACACACAGGTTGACCGCAAAGACCGGATGATACTGTAATATTTGCCATCACTTCAGATGTCCCGGTGGCCATGGCAGCAACGCGAACCATTCCGTTTATTTCCCAAACACACAGAACTGCATCGAACTACTAATCTGTAGATAATCTGTCTGTAGCGTTTTTCACCGAGTGGCTTCTTCTGGATCTCTGCCATCCGCCGGACTTTGCCATCATTCCACGGACTGCGAAGGATGTGCAAAAGAGTCTGTCAGACCATTTGCACGAATCAGTTTTGAAGGCCTCCAGAAGAAAGATCAAGAACAAAATTGTAACATTGCGGATAGAGGGAGGTGTTTTCATCTCGAGAATGCGTCATGTGACATGTGTCATCAAAACCTACAGCGCCAAGTTTATCATCGTAGTTGAGAAGACAATTGGAAAAGAAACGCCCGATATACCTTCAAATAGAATGCAAAAGAACGTGTGGCAACTCATCAACTGTTTTAAACCAACAAGGGATCCTCAGCTGGAACCATGGGGAGCAGGTCCATCAAACTTGTGTTCGTCAGGCTCCCCAAGCCTATCCTTGTCTTGGCAGATGTGTTGTTCCACCTGGTATGGGTAAACACCCTACAGTAAGAATCAATAGTGTCTTTCCTGAGAGGGGGTTGACAGGGGTTGAGGCGGTGCAGGAATTCTAACTTCCGCCCTACCACTACACCCTCTTTGTCTGTTCTTTCTCTGCACTGAGATCCAAACCTTTGCCAAGAGGGTCGAGTGCCCCATGGCCGCCGCTGTGGCCGCTGTGCGGCGCAGACCTATGTGCATTTGAGCCACTGGGTTGGCAGATGGGCGAAATGCCCTGGTGCAATACAATATGTTCCATGTCCTAGACCAACTTACAGTAGATTACAGTAGGGTCATAAATGGGGTGAATGTATATACTGTATATATATATATACACCATTAATTATATACCTATTCCAGCCTCATGGTTGGTACTCCTGCCGTTTTGGCTCCTGTGTTCATCCAAATTGTCTTCTGCAGCCTTTGTGCTGTTCAGAACGGCTGGATACTTTGGAGCATGTTTGCGTCTTCTCTCATGTGGTCCCAAACATCGTTACTTATTAAAATATAGGGGTTATTGGATGTGTTTGGTATTGCCACATATCGCAGCTACTGAATTACTAGTGTTCACAGTTATTGAATTACCAGTTGTTGCCAGGTGTCAAAGGTATTGCTGTACCAGTTGAAATTTAATGAGGGCATATGCAACAGAATCACGTGTTGCGCGGGCCACGAGGGAAAACAAATGTGAGCAAGCAACATTTTAGTCGGCACCCAACATCAAACTCATCAAACCATTTGTGTGGGTGGGTCGCACTTTAGGGCGCCGTCTATGTCCTACAGCAGGAGTCTTTTGACCTAAAGACAGAGACTCAAGACTGACTTTGCCTTTCGCAGTGTGAGGATTTTGGCAAAAATGAGAGACCCAAGAACGAAGGGAATCGTTCTCCCAACAGGACTGCATTTGTTTGAAAGGCATTTTCTTCGACGAGAGAATGGGTCGGTGGGTGCCACGATATGTCTGGTCCAACGATGTTTGGATGCCTTTCACCGGTGAGTTTGCATGTTCAACATGTTCAACCATAGACCTCTTGTTGATTCACTTCTTGACTGTCCAGGCCAGGTGTCTAGTCCCTTGAGTTAATTGCATATTTGTCCTCCGCTCTTCAATAGACTCTGGGGAAGCTCGGGCAGGGTGGTTTCTGATCATTGGAAAATCCGCGCCCTGATAGAGGAATAGCGTATTCCCATTCCATCCCATTCCATTCTGACAGTTTCCAGACGAGGTTCAACAATGAAACACAGATCCTTCTTTGTGATGATCCAGTGCCATTGCAAATCAAAAACACTCACTCCAGCACCAGCTAGTGAACACCAAGTTGACCCTTCTCTTCAATTCTCACATACTTCTCGCCATACTTCTTGCAGCCAAGCTTTCACAGGCTGTCCGGTCGCTCCACATGTCGACGCGACGTGCTTGCTGTCCCGGTGAGGCGAGTGCAGGCTTTGTGGCTTGGCCGACCGCGTGTTGGCGTGGGTCGGGCCCTTCCTGGTGCCCCTCTTGACGGTCCTGGCTACTTGGCGCCAACTGGGCGCCGCCAATGGCGCAGATGTTTGCAGTCAATGCATAGCGTGGCCACGCTGGGCTGTCGTAGGCAAACATCGTGGAGTGGTGCAAAGGACCAGATGCGACCCTTGCACCCCGCGCTACCCTGGCCAAGGGTTGGCTTTTTCTGGGGGCTCTTGGTGGTTTCGTTGGACAGGTTGAAGCTGGTTCATCGGGTTTTGACTTCCTTGTAGATGCCTGACCTATATACTAGAGTGCTTTTCTTGTAGTTTTGGAGACCGAAGCAACACTGTTGGTGGGTGGGAAGATGATGTTCCATGAGATTCCTGGAAGGAAAAGGTAATCTACCATTTTATGTGCGATGGTGGGAGAAAATGGGGGTCTTTGGGGTCTTTGTCTTTGTGCATGAAACCTTTATGATTGGGGATGCCTCCATGAAATTAAATATAGGACCTCAGCTCCCTTCAGCGCAAAAAAAAGGATTTCTATTTTAGACATGCTGTCCGTGTTTGGAAGATCTGGACCTTGGCTCCAATGAATTTATTTTAGAATGTGAGGCTGATGCTGGATAAGTTTTTTTTTTAATAAGATCAGTCATGATACAAGGGCTTTGAACCTCAGCACTGGTTGATTTTATTTTCTTTATCTTGGATAGTCAGGGACGCTTCAAAAGCAAGCGCGTTCAACTTGGGATGAGTTTCCACTAAATAGTTTTGAGTTTCCACTACAAAACAATGGCTGCGCGATGCAAGTCGTCCCAGTCATTAGTCATTAGTTCAAGACGATGGCTTCCCAACCCTACCCAGAGAAATCTCCATGAAGCATAGCGTGAAAATAGAATGTGGGAAGGCATGGCCAGAGACAAGTCTTTTGTGGGTGGGGGTTGAAGATACACAGATGTATTTGTTTAATTGCTGCATCACCAAGCCAGCCCCCACAAAAGCCACCCAGCCCAGCCAGAAAGCATTAGAATAAGAATTGGTTAGCAGATTGAAAGAGGTGTAGTTGTAGTTCTAGGATGGGTTTAGCTTTGGATTGGCAGATTGTTTTTTTTTGCGATTGTTTTTCCAAAAAAAAAGCAACCAAAAACGCAGACACAAGCACAGCACCCCACACAAGCCATGCCAGTGCATCCCAACCCTACCCAGTGAAACCTCCATGAAACATAGCATGAAAATAGAATGTGGGAAGGCATGGTCAGAGACAAGTCTTTTGTGGGTGGAGGTTGAAGATACACAGATTTTATTTTCTTTAATTGCTGCATCACCAAGCCAGCCCCCCACAAAAGCCACCCAGCCCAGCCAGAAAGCATTAGAATATATTTGAATAAGAATTGGTTAGCAGACTGAAAGAGATATAGTATATGTTGTGGTTCTAGGGTGAGTTTAGCTTTGGATTGGCAGATTATTTTTATTGCAATTGGGCTTTGGTGAACCGGCAGTCTTGGGCATTTGCGTTTAACAGATGTATCATATCATAGGTCAAGATCAGGGTGGAGTGGGAGCCGACGTCTAGCGCAAGCATTACCTCAAGATTTTTTGCCTCGGGGTTGCTCATTTTATTTTCATCAAGTTGCCTCCGTTGAGGTATTCTGATAGCTTAGTCAGATGATGAATTTGCAGGGTTGGACCCTTTGATTTTATTTTAAAGTACCTTGGCTACCCCCCAGAATTATTCTATTTTTGGAGGTGCTGACGCCCCCCCGTGGCCCGGAGCCCCAATCTTTATGATGACAAGACTTGATCCTTCTTCTTCAAACCCTGTTCATGAAGACTTTTGTTTTCCTTGATGATGGTGTCATCATCAACTTATATAGTAAAACCAAACAACTTTTGGGGAGAACTATTATAGGATACTATCATCTCAGGTGTTTCTCCATGTTCCCCAGCCAATCCGAGATCTTCTTGCCCTTGCTCATCCGTCTTCTGAGATGCTTGGCGCAGGTCGAAACCCATCGAAACCACAGGTCGCCCGTTCTTCCGCGTGTTGTGGGGACGAGGGGCCCGTTCACTGGGTGGGTGAGCGGTTGAATCCAAGGGAACCAGCCTTCACTGTTCACCAGTCATGCCCTTTTTTTTTTGGAAGAGCGCCCCGTATGATCAGTCTGGGAAGCGCCGGACCAGTCTGTCTACAAAAGAAGCGCCGGACCGGTTTGTTTTGGCGAAGGTGGTGGATGCCAGGGGATGTGACCTGTTTTATCATGTTTTTGTCTTGTTCTTTTTTCTAAAACAAAGCATGAATCTGTGCAACAACATGGTCGATTCAATGCACTGCTGGGTCCTTCAGCTACTTGCAAGTTTGAAGATTCTCCGCACCATGATTGCTACGTGTTTGATGAATTTGCAGTCGTCGGCGTTGCTGGCCATTTGTGCCAAGGATCCAACGACATGGCTCGTACCAAGAGATCCAAAACCCTGATTAAACAAAGAGGCGGCTCGGTGGGACAGTCGCTGCGACCTGGGGCCCAGCGATGCCGCTTCGACGGCGTTGAAAGGTACCGGAACATCCAATGTACAAGCGGTACAAAATCGTGTGGAATGACTACGCAAGTTCCCCAGTATGAGGAATTGAATGGAAGGACCAACGGATATATGTTTGGGTGGACCAGCTTCCAGTCACCCACCCACTTGAACTACCCAAGCAATCCCAAACACATTGTTTGGAGATGTTTGGAGGCGAATGGATCGGGTACGGTACGGGTATTCTTTTTCAATTGTATCACCACCAATATGAGAGTTCAGAACATAATTATATGACGTACCAAAGAAGAAGGCGTGTACAAACTGCGGCATTTTTGTTCCGCCAGGTACACGACACGAAAAGCCCAATCGAAACTGAACAGATGAGAGTTGAGTTGAGATGAACATGGCTGGGAGAAATGTGTGTGATTTTTCCCCCTTTATGAAAGGACATCCCGCACGACCGCCCATCTCATCCCCGCACTCGAGCCGCCACGCGCCGCGCAAACACGGCCCCACGGCCATACACGAACACGGCAAGGCAAGACGCGGAACTCGATGCTGGGCCACTGGGGCAGATGAGGTTCTGGTTTTGGCTTGGATTTCTTGGTAGCTGTTATCCACTTTGCTGGTCAAGCCTGGCAAACCACATGGCAGTTGCTCCGGTTTGTGAGATCTGAGACTAGCGCTTTGATGGTTGCAAACCTGTAGCGGGGTCTGTTGGCAAAAGATGAAAAGACAGTCAAGACAAGATGAGGTGGAGATCTCCTTCCTCAACCTGGATTGAACCTATGGAACCTCCCAAATGTCCACTTTTTTGGCAGGTTGCCATGTGACTTTTGGGGAGAAATTCCTTGAAGATTACAAACAAGATCAATCAAGAGACTTGGGATCAACCGCAGTTTCCAGAGTGCAGTTTCCATTTTACCTCTTTTGACGAACCTTTTTGATGCTTTGCATAGATGGCCCACCCTACCTATCGACCATTAGCAGTAGTGAACGTGGATGATTTGGAAGTGACATCCTGTTTGGCATGATTCATCAGATGCTTGCATCCCCCTTGCCTGTTTGAATCGCTGAATGTGTGAGTGCGGGCCATGGCTACGACCTCTCCGCCAAACTCGCTCGCCCTTCATGTACAAGGGACATCAAGGGACCAACCCCCGGCCACCCCCCCAAGGCCACCTGGGAGATGATCACGGAGAGTTCCGCATGCTCGTCGTGATGTGGACGACTCTTCAAACGCGCCTTGGGTTCCGGCGAGTTCCCACGAGAGTGGTGGGTGGTGGAGGGTGGATGGTGCAGGATGGACCCGGTGCTTCCGTTGGGATGATAAAGAACCATCACAGCATCAAACAAAAAGACGTGTTGGGACCTGGATGTCTTGGGAATACGCCCTCAAGGTGAACTTCACACAATTAGTGTTCGGATGTTTTCGTTAGCGCGAAATTGAAGCGAGAATCACCAGTCGTCTTTAGGTTGTTCGCCGCTGAGAGTTTACCCACAAATGAAGAAAAAAGTTGGGCCAGGCGACACGTGAACCCGCTCGTGCCTGAATCGGTCGTTCCAAAACGATGAATGGATGGGATCGGAAGGGATCTCTCTCGACACCCAGGGGTTGGGTGTCGCAGGTTGTGGATTTGTCACGAGATGCCTTTAAACTTCACGCGCTGCTCGGCCGCGGATTTCGATGCGCCGTGGTCGCTTAAGGTTTGTTCGGTCGCCGCGGCAGGTGCAGTCATGGCTGTGTGACCTCAAAGTAATATGTACTTTCTAACTAGGAGAAACGACGCTGCAGGAGTCCTGGTGGCTTCTGAAAGGGTTCTTAGAGGGTCTCTTCAAGAAACACTGGCCCGATGGATTGAGGATGCGAATCTAGACATCGTGAACCATGTAAAGGAAATGCTTTTGTCCCCTAGCTAGGGCAGCTAGGGACCAATGAAAAGGATCCGTGTATCCTCTGTCGAGCCATTGAAGCAAACCACATCCGAAGTCCAAGGACCACCCCAAAAAGCATATTACCATATCATAATGAGATAGTATGTTTACATTGGGGATTGGCCTAGAATCAACGAACTTTCTCCATCTTACTTTTGGCAGGTGTCTTATGTCAAGTCTTCTGCTTGGTAATGTTCCTCGTCACTAGTGTTCGGCTTGGGTGAGAGATACGTACGGACAGGTCGCCTAGCAAACGGACAGCCAAACCTTGGGAGTCGCTCTTGGGTGGATCACGTGCCGGAAAACTGGCGCAGCAGCAGCAGGAGCAGTAGGAGTAGCAGTAGTAGCCGTAGTACGAGTAGCTTTACATGTTAATTTGAGACAGTTTGATAGGTGGCATATATACCAGTGTGGAAAGCATGCGTATATAGAGTTGTTCAAACATACTGTTGATCGAACACGGCCCAATCGCCATAGGGTAGAGTGTCCCACTGAGACCCAACAAAAGAGTGGATTCCAGTTGTTCCGAGGTAGCTAACATCATCACCAAAACTATTTGCTGACCTTCCATGTAGGTGTTGGTGACATTTGGTGACAGGTGCCCATTTCGCCACTTGTTTGTGTCCAACCCTTGGAGGCTCCCAGGTTGTGGATACATTGGGCATCTGGGAGATCCCATCGTTGTGAAGGTTCCAGGTTGTGGATCTCGAATGCTGTGAGGCTTTACGCGGGACTGGTTGTGGGCTTTAGGCGCGGCTTGCCTTCGGGCACTCCATCCGGTTGTTCGGTGTGGGTTGTTGGGTAGAAATGACCGGAGTCTCTCTGTAGATGCCAAGGCTCAGACGACGAGCAGGTCCGGTTTTTGTTTTCGCTTAAGCGTCCGAGAACAACTCACTCGAGCAGGGATGTGTTTATTTTTTGGGGAATGGTTTATGGCAATAATGCTTTGCAATTGTTGCTACACTCTGACTCACTAACATGGAAGTGGAACATGGTCCTTTGGAAGACAACTTTCCTTTACAAACCAGGGGTTTTCCACTTCCATGCTAGTAAGTCGGAGTGTATGTGCCGCCCCTACGGACCAACAGGTTCTTTGCCGTTTAGACGGGTCTCGTAGGAACAGTTGACAGACGATGTGGACCTGGAAGACGAGGTGGACCAAGCGGCGACAAATAGTGGGCCTGGAAAATGGTGTGTGTTTCATTGAGTCCCGCCCCTTCAGTCAGAAAGCGAGATCTATAGTTATATCTAGCTACTGTATACCAAACCTTGAAGATATGTACAGTAACAATACCCAACATCGTCTTACAGTTGATGATCCAGCAATATGATACAATATCTAATATCCTCCAACGGCACTCCAGATGAATTTAATTCCACCCTTACTTTTAATCGCCAACCCAAAACCATCCGGTCCACCCGGTCATAACGGTGCTCGGAACGCGGAACGCGCCCTGTCCGCGCCTAAAGGTGTCACGGCCTGGGATTTTTCGATTTTGAGACCGCAATGTGCCTATGAGTTCCTTGCAAGCTGAACTGGCGAACATCCGGCGCATCTGCGGATCTGGGGTCTTTGACAATCTTTGATTGGAGGAGTTTGATAATGTTGATTTCGGTACCAGCAGTATGTAACTCCGTAATATATCGACTTGTATATAAAGTATATCGAGGTGTAATTCATATAGATCGATGGTGTAATATCTACAGATAGGGTCTCAACGAAGGAACCACCACCGAAGAACGTGTCTTGCCGGTCGAAGAGACTACGGGGGACTGCATGATATTGATGGCTCAGCCGGGCTGGTTGTTCTTTGTTGGTTTGGAGGACTGTTTCAACTGCTCGCCATCACCATCAGGCATAGTCACTGTTAGTTATTTTCGTTTTTTAAAAAGTGAAACGCTAATGAGGTTGACCGCGAACTGAAATTCCCTGGCCGAACGTTCTTTGGCCAAACTGGTGCGGTTTCATTCACATGTGCGCCACAAGTAGATGGAACAGTATCCATCCCCATACTGTGGAGACCTAGTTTTGTTCCCCAACAGCATCCTCAACCCGCATGGAACCTGGAAGCCACCCACCCTGAGGATTAGCTTTGTTTGGAAGTGGCTCCTGCAGTGGTTGGGCTTCTTCGTGATGATTGCCGGGTTCCAAGCAGGTTCGCGTTCGACTACGGGGTTGGACAGACCTGAAAAGATATATATATATATATAGAAGATGTGCCCTGATGGGCCATGTGTGTGTGTGTGTGTTCAAATTGAACAAGCAAGGCAGGTTCTACTACGATGACTTTCCGAGCATGGGAACCAATTCAAAGGTGTGAAGACGGAGAACCACGCCATAGAGACAGAGCCAGGAGTTCAGTGGGTGGTTTGCTTTGCCACAGAATCAGAGGATGTTTCGAGCCGATAGGACCCAAATCGTGCGGACTGTCAACTGACCAGTGGAGGGAGATGTTTTCCGTGTTGTTTTGGAACGTGTGGGGTCTGGGTGGTTTGCGTAGCAGAACTGGTGATGCAGAGATGGATCACGAGCAACTGGGCCACTGGGATCCACTGTCACTAGGCCTGTCTTTCTTGGGATGAACAATTCATCACCATCTATAGCTTTCCATCACACCAAGTCAACGTCCCAACGGGTGGGTGAACGTCGGAAGCGACACGGGCGGACAATTTGGGATGAAACATCCAGGAAGAATGATCGGCCCTTTCTATGTGAGGCCTGGATCGGGCTGAATCAACTGCGCAAAACATTCTGAGGCCTTCACGCTCCTGTGTATTTGGATTTATACCTGCATCCACCGGAAGCCTGGCAAACACGAACATACATGGACTTGCAAAGTGTTTGGTGCTGAAGTAGGTCCCAGCAGGGACGATTCAGATGAAAGGTGTGGCTGGAAATGGGAGGAAGACCACATTCTGTAGCACAAGCTGAGGAGGAAGAAAGAGGATTGTATACTTTTCCCATGCAGATGAGACCCTCTCTCATCATATATGTATATATATATATATATCATATCCCACAGAGAGAGCAGATGGCCAATTGTCGAGTGATCCAGCAACAGCCACAGAGATGTAGAGAGAGAGAGAGAGAGAGAGATTTTCTCGAGTTACAGGTCCTTCTTGATCAAAATCGTTAACTACTAGCATTCGAGGTGTCGGAGTGACTCAGTAGCAGGGCCATTCACGTGAACCTCTTCCAGCGCTTCCAGCCCCCGATCTACACCATTTGCACCTCACCCCAGCGGCCATGACACGGCCACCCAGCTGTTGCTGGTCAGGAACGCGAATCGTGACTACTACTACATTAGCCCTTCACAGGGTCTGCTTGGCATGCTGTCCATCAACTTCATGTTGCTCGGTATCAAACCGAGAGAAATCGGTCGTTGGGGCCTTTTTTGAGCGAAGACTTGCAGTCTAAGCCAGCAGATTGAGTGTACAGTCGTCGGGTGTTCTCCTTGATCAATTACTCGCCTGAGATTAAAGGGTATCGGATGGTATCGGTATTGCTGAGGGTCCAACGCGACGATTCTGGGGCTCTTCAGGTTTGGGCACGATGCCAGGATGCCCAAAGCTGCAAAGTATGTAACCAAACTGATGTACAACTCCTTCAAATCCCGTGGCGCAGGGGGTCATTCGCGTTTCACCCATTGCTCAAAGTGACACACTTCGACCGGACTCAGAGTTGCCCAGGATTCTGCTCCTGGTTCACCTGCGAGATGACTTGATATTTCTGCAGTGCATTGATTGCGAAGATGGCAAGTTGTGCGTCTTGGCGTTCTCGCTTGGCGTGAGTTCTTGGACCAAATTGTTGACTGTATCGAAGTCGATGACTCGAACAATGCTTGATTATGCTTGATTCAACATAGATTAAGTTCTGTTTTTCCGGTTCCACCGGTCGGTTTTCCACAATGTCACAGTATGTAGCATTTTCCTGGGAGTAGATTAGATGGAACACAAGATAATATCATAGTGTCCTCGTTGTTGTACTAGTGGTTATTGCTGCTGCTGGTGTTGTTTGTTTGCTTGTTTTGGTTTAGTTGTTTGTTGTGTGTGTGTGTGTTTTTTTTTTTAATATGTTTATTGTTTCCGTTATTTGATGTGTCTTTATTTTGTTTTATTTGTTTTTATTTGTGTTCTTGTTATTGTTTTGGTTTTGCCGTTCTTGTTTTCTTTCCTGCTTTTGTTCCTTCTGTCCTATTTTGGTGCACGACGTCGGTGGCGATCATGAGCTTTTAACGCGTGTTCATTGTTTTGGGTGTTACTCGTATAGACAGAGGATGCTGCATCATGAAGCATCACGAATCAAAATGGGGGTGGGTGGGTGGGTGTTGGGACCAAGTTGAGATGTACATGATGATCCCAACAGCACGTTGCTGCATCATGGAACTTGCTTTGGCTTGAATAGGGGGTGGTGCCAAGTCGCGATGTATGTGACGATTGGCAATTGGCAGCAACAATGTTGCCAACAATGCGATGTTAGTTGGCAAAGCCTCAAGACATACTCACTGAAGCAGCTTCACAACAATAGAAAGGACAAGTGTTGTAATGAACATCTCATCTGCTACGTGCTCTCCTGGTGCTTTCGTCCAAAATGTGAAGTGAAGACACCTGTTTTTGTGCTGTGGGCCAATTGTGATGCCACGAGATTTCAACAATTCGTGCTTTTCAACACTTTGGCACATACCAGACTCGCCCATGTAACGCGGAGGGCCGAGGAGAAAAGAAAATCAGGAACGCCTCTGTAAGAAACAGTGCTTCAAACCTCCATTTTCAAAACAACATCATGTAGGACAAGAAGCTACTAGGTGAAGGCCATCGCTATTAGGTTGGAGGCCATCGCTACTAGCAACAAGAAGCTACTGGGGTGGAGGCCATTTAACTTCTCAACCATCCTAGTAGCTTCGACCAAGACATCCGAAACCCGACGCCCAACGGCCATCAATCACGCGGGCTCGGCCTCTTTTGTTTGTGTTTGTCTTGTTCTTGCGTGCTTGCAGTCGTTCTATGTCGGTCTGGTTTGGATAGCTGGAAATAGACCACTGAGTGGCTAACCAGGGAAAGAGTCTAGCCTAGGACCAAAAAAGAAAGACCTCTTTGAAGCTCCCAACAAACCGTTTCTGGGAACGCAAAAATGCCTCATTCTGTGGCCTCAAACGAATGTTTGAGAGTTCATTTGGTTCATCAGGCCTTGCGGAGCAACCGGCCATCGAGTGTCGCTTGGGCGATTGGGTGCCTTGGTGGCGTTAATGCAAAGTCGAAGGTTCAATGAAGGAACAGGTTCGGAACATTTGGATCATGGTGTCGGTGAACACTCTTGTTTTCTGAATGTCTGTATGTTTCTGTACTGTATATCCTTCTCCTCTCACATTTTGATGTACTGTAGCCCGGGAAGAATACTAACAGAACAATGCGCAGTGGTTGTCACCGAGGGCAATGTTCCTCGACCAAAAAGACAAATACTGAGCTCATCCCGACAGACTACAAGAAACATGAGCTTTGTGAAACACAAAGGTCACTTTCTGCAATCAAGCCAACAGAGGTTGAAAGACCCTATAGGCTATCCCATAGGTACCCCTGTAGTGTCCTATTTACGGTCACTTAACCTCTGTTGGAGATTCCTTGTTCGGATTGCGTTTTGACCACTTCGCCGAACGAGCCGAGGAATGGTCAGCCTGGACCTTGGAGTCGTTGGAGAGGATGGTCACGAGACACATCATCCTTGGTTTGTCACACAAGTGATTGTGACCTCCCACCATTGTTTAAAGCGGTTCTTGTGAAGTTCTTGATTACCATTGATTACCTCATGTCACTTCAATTGTCGTTTCCCATTGTGGCCCTAGTCACGAAAGGTAGCATCAGGCTACCCTGAGTTCTCTTTTTGCTTTATATAAGCAAAAATATATTGTACACCAGGAATTGGTGGCTAGAGTTTGGTCCTGTAAGGAAGGATTCTTCATCATAGGGGCACCCCCTGGATCAAATCCCCCCTGCTGCACCTTGCACCTGATGGTTAGGGGGAACGCATGCACTGCATCACGCTGAGCACCGGGTCACAGGAACAGGGCCGAAATGTTCCTTGTGACCTATTGGTTCATCCCCTCCTCTCTCAAGTTTCTTGCAATGTGTTGAAGGGAACTGAACCTTTCTCTTTCATTAGTCCGCTTCGTTGAGGATGTCCACTAGTCCGATGCCCTGCCTTCGTTGCACACTGGAGACTAGGGTTGGTCTCAAGAATTAATGAGAGGATGTTACTGAAGTTAACGACATGACATACAGAAACCAAGTTGCACTTACAATTGCAGGACAACTTCACTTTACTGGCCCGTCCCACACAAAGAGGCGCATATATTGGGAAGCACATTCCAGAATCCTGCGGGTTTTGCCGGTCATGTGGCAAAGTAGAATCGAGTCAAACTACCCCAACGAACTCGTTTTGCAGAGAACCCTCGACCGTTTGATACTTGGCCGAGACCATGTTGGTGATCTCATTGATGGACATCTTCATTGTTATCGTGTCTCGGGCATTTTGGGCGGTGAGTGACTGTTCAGTGGCAGTGCCGGGGTTAGAAGAAGAATGAAGAAGACGTGTTTCACAGCCACAGCTTCTGGCACAGCCTTTTGAACATGTCCATTTTCGTGGTCAACTTATATTATATATACTGCGATTTAGGACGTTGAGGGGTTCTCCGAGGGACAAAAAGTTGCAAAACTTTGGGACCCGCGATGCTTCCGGGATGCAGAAATCTGATGGGTTCGGATGCCAATGGTGTTTTGGCCGACCTCTGAAAACACCCTTCGACTTACATGAGACTCAAGCTAGATGAGGGACGAGCATGGGCGGAGAAAAAGATCTTCCAGAAAGGATCGTTGTCACAGGAAATCACCTGGTGTGGAACGCGAACATCACCTGAGATGTGAAACACAATTGGAACACCGTTTGATTTGAAGAAGAGAAGGCATTAGAAACGGCTCAGCAGCCTCGTGAACGTTCGCAGTTCAAGGTGGGCTGTGCCTACATGATCGTGCTGGGTGTCTATAAGTCTTGGCGCTGGCAGCATGGGATGCCTGGCTGCGCCAAGACGAACATGATCTTGGAGTTGATAGCAGGGGGGCCCTGAGGCCCCCCAAAAAGAAACTATGTTATTACAAAAATATTACAATATGTTATTAGTTATTAGTTATTAGTATGTTATAACACCAGGTAATATGTTGGTATGTTACTATAGTTGTTATTATAATATGTTATTAGTTTACTATGATTACTGTCAACTGTAGTTAACATAGTTGTTCAGAAGCCGCGACTGTGATGATGGATTCCCACCCCAAACCAGCGCTGACCCAATTTATGGTTAAAAAAAGAAGCCTTTTGGGATGTAGATTTCAAAGTTAGCTGAAACCATGAAGAGCGATAGGCCCACCATGTTGCACCCACTGTCAAACGCCCCGACAGGATCTCCTCGCCGGTTGAAGGTCCTGGTCCTGCGGAGCAAACCAAGGAATTTGCCTGGGCTTTGCTCCAACGCCGAAATTCCCTGGTACGTGCTCTTTGCGGTGCCTTTTCACGTGGAAAAACCGTCAAGGGTGGGGTGGGGGAAACGAACTGTTTGAAAGTCCGAAGGAAGTGATGAAGTGGAACTAAGGACCAACTAGCATAACTGACTAGTTTACCTCATCAAATGACAGCAGTCGAACTCAAAGAGTCTTTGGGACATGTGCTGTCCAATCCGGTTCTGCATGGCCACCGACGAGCTGCAGCGCAGCGATCAGGACCTGTGGGTGCGAGGCTACATTGGATACATCAAGGAGATCCGAGAGGCGAGACCTGCATCCACCATCCCATGTCGGCCACCAGACGAATGGGACTGTGGAGGAGTTGCTCGCATCTACTCCATGAAAATGACCTCAGTCTAATGTAAGTCTTTGGAAAGAATCTTCATGAAAAAGAATGAAAAAGACTGATGTCCATGCATGTCCATGCATGTCCATGCATGTCCATGCATGTATGTCTCTAATTCTCATGAACATGTCCCAGTAACTGTTCCAGTCCCGCTCTGGGCTGTCGTTACACGAACGCGTAGGACCAGACGCCACCCGAAACGAAGGGTCCACGGCGTTTGAGGATCAGCGACACCTGCACCAACCGCAGGTCATGGATGTGGCAAGGAGGTTTTTCACGGACCATGCCATGACTTTCCGGCCCAGTCATGTGACATGCAGTCCTTCGATGTCCCTCTCGTCATGAGAGGTGTTCTTTGGCCGAAAACTGGGCAGGCTTCGGAGTCGTCTAGACTCCCCCCTGACACGAGCCACTTGCTCTGCCTCTCTCTCCGCAGTCTGCAGTCGACACGTGACGTGACGTTTGCGGCTCGCCAAGTCGGAAGCGACCCCAACCGGGACCTGTTGACCCGGTCCCGGTGACGGTCTGGACGGTCCGGACATGCCGGGGGTGATCGACTCCGACCTTTTGAGGAAGTAGTTGGAATAGGGATGGCTTCGTGCTGCTTCATGGAACTTTGTTGCAAGAAACTGTCCCAGAGCCCAACGTGTGTCTCTCTCTCTTTCTTCCCAGCAGGCAGTGCCAGAGTTTCAGCAAGAGTATCCTCACCTGGAGAGTGAGGAAAAGCGCAAGGACCGCTCAGAAGTTGAGTGTCAAGCCACTCCATGAAGAATGTGTGGATTGCGCAGATGGAACAAAATACGGATAAACAAATGCATATCATATAGTTGAACACACAAGAAATATTGCGCCCGTTTTGTTGACTCCCTTGAGACTTTGAGCAGCTATATACCTACTTTCCTTTGCTGCAGCGCTAAAAGTGCAACATGATGCCATCAAATCCATTATTCAGAGACAGAAGCATTTGCAGTGAAACCTCCCACGAAAGCAGGACCATCAGAAAGACTCCGCTTCCTGTCTCAACATGTCTTTGTGTTCCATTTTGAGATATATAGATGGCCGATGGCCCCATAGTGGCCCCCCCCAAACCACCGGTCCCAAATGACCGTCAGGTCGACCCGACGTCTACGACCGAGTCTTTCTCGCCCTACAAAGCGATGGCCTCCAACCTAAGAGCTTCTTGCTACTAGTAGTAGTGGCCTCCAACCTAATAGCGATGGCCTCCACCTATAGTAGCTTCTTCTTAGTAGTAATGCCAGGAGCTACTAGTAGTGTTCTTGCTCCGACTAGCGATGGCCTTTGCTCAGGAGGTTTGGAACAAGGCCATCGACCTCATTTTGGCCCAAGAAGCCGAAAAGGCGAGCACCGACGCGTCTCGTGCAGACGCAGAAGCGTAAGGAAGACGCGCCGAGAGGAAGGACGCACGAGTCACTAATCGGGACGATTGGAAGAAGTGACAGCGAAATGCTGCAGTTTGGGTTTGAGTATAGTTACAAAGCAAGAGATCAAGAATAAATAAGTAAACATCCCAAGGAAGCTCAACAATGGCTCCCCAAGTGGTCGGGTAAATGTAAAGCATGACTAAAATCTGCAGATTTCAATAGATTTCAAGGGCTCTCTTTTTTGAGCCACATCCATAGAAAAATTGTCGACTTACTGTGTGCTTTTAACGTGCTCACCAACAGGCCTGTAGAAATGGCTCAATTTGTTCTACAGGATCACAGATTGAGGCCTACCCCCACACGCAACGTACTGTGGTCCAGAACATGTCCTCGTGAGTTCGATTTTACGAGGGGTTCCAGGTAGAGGTGCTGTCTTCACACATTTGTCCACGTGGTTCCAGGCAGAGATTCTTCTTCACCGTCTTGTCCAGCACCTGTGACTTGGCAGCAATACATGAGATTGAGGTGACATGGTTTTGGGTCAATAGCCACCAGGAAGCAGGGTATTGGTATTCTGTGCTAGTTTTGGTGTTTTGAGTTGCTGTTGATTGAACATATGTTTTGCTGTACATTGCTTCGGTGTGTCATGGCAACTCTTCATGGCATTGACAATCCCACTTTATCTATCTAAGTGATTCATGGTGATTCAGGAGTTTGTTCCCAGTGGATGTGTTTGTTCATGCTCGTTCCATTCGTCCCCATGCTCCTGTGGAACCATGACAGAACATCACCCATCCTCCTTGTTTAACGTTTGTGATATCCTCCTTTTCTGAAACAAACACCGTAGGACAGAGAGTCACAAAACGCCAAGGATGTCTTCGGCAAAAAACGTCCCCCTGCCTCATCCCTGCCTCTGAACCACCACAGTGGCGCAACAGGTATCGCCACCACCCGCGGTTCCGTGTCATCGGTGAGGATGAAGGCCCCGCGTCCGAATGCCGGCAGTTTTCGACGGAAAAAGGGGAAGATCTGTGGAGGAGTCGCCAGGACCAAAGCAGAAGATCTTACAAAATTTCGGAAGAAACCCATCATACACTCATCATTCACGACTAAGCTGAACAATGACCCGGGTATACTGTTTGATACACATATATACCGATTTGTAGATCCGGCACGAGTCTCGTCCTTCTTCTACTTCGGCAAACGGGTCTCAAATGCCCCACCGAAGAGGTCCAGCGTTGCAGCTCGTGAAGGCCATCACGAGGTGCGTTCCGGCGGTCCGGCGGGTGCCCGTGCTTTTCGTGCTGAACTACGGGTGGAGCCAGATGGCCGGTATGGCCGGTGTATGTCAAACAGGTCAAACAACGTTGAGTGAAGATGTTTTTTGGGGGGGTTGAATATATGTGAAGATGGGCTGGCCACCGGCAAAGGCCATCACGATCCAAGCATGATGACATGTGAGTATTTGCTTTGTTCACAAGATAAACTGGTTGTTGTGAGTTTTTTGGTATTATGTTAGTCAACTTATTAGCAGATTAGTAGCTTGTGCTCATGCCACTCACATACATATTGTTTCACAGCATACGAAGCATACATATGTCGTATGGTTGTGTCTCAGCATACGAAGCCTTCCAAAGCTAGACATGAACCAGTGGTTGTACTTTGTGCAAGTGTCACATGTTTGATTGTCGTAACATGTTGTAACAAAAACATACAACAAATACAAAACACATTTGGACAACCCAACAACACACAAACAGGTTGTGGAGAGATGAGGAGAGTTGTGTTTTGGAACTAAGCTCAAATTGATTTGCCACGTACGTGTTCTTCACATGTTGTCGTGCCTTCGTGCCAGTTCGTACACCAGCGAGCGCTCTGTGAAGGCTCAAAATGCCACTCGGCGGAGGCGTTCGGAACAAGGGAAGCCCCAACCAGTTGACGTTGCCTAGGTTTCCTGCTCGGCTTGATTATGGCTTGTCAAACTTCATTGGGCTGTGGCATATTCACAAGGAAATCAGAGGAAAATCCACAAGCACGGAGTCAGATCATGATAGGCTGGATGGTGTGCATACCAGGAAACCCATACATACTGAGGTCATGAAATAGTCCTTGCTTCCATGATTCCATGATGTATGGATGTGCGCACGGATGATGCCACAAGGTGTATGCATGATTAGCCACATAGCCCAGCTCCATTCTTTCAACTCTGCGGTGTGTCCGGACCACAAACCAGGTAGCCAGAGGTTCCTCCAGGTCACCAGAGGGTGACCGGAGTGGGTGTCGCCACCAGGGTGCCGTTGAACCACCCGAAGCCTCAATACAGAGGCCGTTGCAGAGGCACGCCATGTACAGCCAAGGAAGTGCTTGGACGAGCGGAAGATGGTGTAGATTCTTCCTTGAAACTCAGCCGCAGATCCTCCCACGCTCGTTTGATGCTCCGGGCTCGTTTGATCAAAGGATCAGAAGTCAACTTCTTCTGGAAGACATCCAGGGTGTCTGAATCTCTTGCGGTGGTACTCTACCGATCAATAGACATGAACCTTCGAACATGAACTAGACCGACTTCCACTCTGCGGGCCATGAATGTCACAGGAATGACCATTACCTTCCTGCATCAATAGATCTAGAAAGGTATGGCATTGGTGAGCGACGATCAAACCACTGTTTGGAGTGCTAAGAAGACTTGTGGGATCCGGGTGAATAGCTAGCTCGAGTCTAAGACTATATACTATATACTCACCCACTTATGTGTGGGTCGTTTTGTTTTTTGGGGGGTTCAATCAACAACATGTTTGCCTAGAAAGAACTGTTTGGGTATGGATGTTGTTGGAAATCGTCAAAGTTGATGGATGTTGATGTCCAATCCCAGGACTATAACTTGCAATCTCGTTTCTGGGTTTGATGAGCATTTTCTGGTTTGCCTCGGAGTGAGTTGTTTTTTTGCGCGTGGCCGATTGAGGGTATCCGTATCCTTTCGCCAGCTTCATTAGCTGATGGGACGGAACATGTAGAGGATGTGAGTGATGTGAGCTGATAGGGATAGGGTCCCGGTTTTCCATATCAGGTCCACAGGATCTGTCAACCAGGAATACGCCCACCTCACCTAGGACCTTATGTACTTGGGGCCTTGAAACCAAAGGCTGGAACTCTACCATCCCGTAAAGTGGCTTTGTTTTTAGTCGAAAGCACACCCACATTTTGCTTGGGACATGTTAGTGAAGTCAGAAGTCATTCAGATGCTCACATCTGCACATTCAGATGTTCAGATGTTCGGATCTTCACCCCCGGAATCCCCAAGGAAAGAAGGGGAGCAAACCGATCAACGATTTCGCTGCCCAGGAAGGTCGCGGACGTCCATCATGTCGAGCTTCTTGGATGCGTTAAGATGGGAGCAGATGTGCCTGGCTCAAACAGCGTTGAGTCGAGGTGGGATACTTGACGGACTTGTGACTTGTAGCACTGGGATTGGAGGCTCGCTATGTGAGGCAGTGAGGCCTCAGAAATCTCATGGAGAAGGATGGTTTCTTTGAAGTCAGTAGCCCCATATTCGCCAAACCTACACCAAAGCGATGGGGCGAACCAAACGAAACATATGTTGCCCCGCTGGCGCTGGTCAGGCTGATGATGAATAACCTCTTGGACTACGCCAGGCTCGGCTTAGCGGCCTTACCGGTTACTGGGACCGTGGGAACCGGGCGACCGGATTCTTCTAGATAAGTGGGATTCCAGCTTGATGGGTGCTGTGAGTAATTGTGTGTATGTCTTTGGCAGAGACCCATATCAGTTCACCACGTGGCCAAGCAGTATGTAGTGATGTATTCATATCTTCCAAGCATGGAGCTGTTGCTTTGACAAACCAAGTGCTCATGTGGTTCTACAATGGAGATAGACAGGATAGAACTCGGTCCAGCAACTGCACACACAAAGACCATGAAGACCAAATCGTGATCATCATGAGACAAATTCTGCCGATGAATCCTATGGATCCAGTAAGGCTTGTGCCTTCATTCTTGGAATGGATTTACTCGCGACCACACATTCCGATGTTTTCAGGGTGAACAATGTTGAGAAGCACTTTGCAGTTTCAAAGTCGCTGAGAGAAACACTTTGCTCAACGTTCGAGCACCGCGGAACTGGAACTCTTGCAGAATACACCAGTCTTTGCAGCATGTTGCAGCATTGCAGCTGTATTCTTTCCAAGTTTTCTCGAGATGATGTGCCGAGCCTCCAGATGCAAGCCATGCTGCTTTCTCCTGCTATCGCTAGTAGGGACATGCCTGTTCGCAGTGTCGCCGCTTGGTCTGTCTTTCTCGCCTGGCCGCGCCTTCCCCCCCCACGGGGACTCCACAGCAGTGTCCCGCGCGGTGTGAGACCCGAACTGAAGAAAGGAGCGATGCGGGAACGCATGACGCCAGGCCGGAACCGGGAAACAGTGGCCAAGCAGAAGATCCTGACGACCCAGGTGGCAGAATGTCAGTCAGCAGATGCCGTGCTGAAAGTAGTTGAAGGTTCCGATCTTACCCTGTCTCAACTGGATGAAATAAGTTTGAACACATGCGTTCACACGATTGCAAAGCTGCACAAGACGGTCAAAGAACCGCTTGCTGGCTCCAAGGGTTTCGAACAAATTATTCAACGCTTGCGGCTTGCGCAAACATATTCTCACCCAAAAGGCGCAGCCTCGCACCTTGTGTGATATCTTGTGGGCCATAGCAGTTGCTCGGCAAGAAGTTCCTGAGTTGCAAATGTTGCTTCCACCAACTATCAAAGCAATTGATGAGAAAGTTACGAATGGAATGAACATACAGAATGCAGTTATGTCCCTTTGGTCGCTGGCAACACTCCACACACACACTCCTGAGGTAAGAATGAGCTTGGATTTGGATAGGCTGCCCGACATATTGGTTCAGCGTATCCTTGTTCTGCAGAAAGCCATCAATTGTCAACACCTTGGTATGGGTTTATGGTCAATTGCTCGGTTGCCACCATCCATTGCAAGCCTAAGACAGGAGCTACAACCTGCCTTGTTGTCCCACTGCCGGGACTTCTTGCAGAATAAGAATCGTACAAGGGACGCCCGATATAGATTAAAGGCCGTTTCCCATGTGGCATGGTCCTTGTCACTCCTAGATTTCAAGGACAAGATGATGTTCGATTGCATATCAGACACGTTCGTGAAGGAAGCATCCGATCCACAAGGGACTCAGCTCTTGTGTTTCATTGATGTGTTGTGTGCCTATGCTAAGCTTCAGATTGTCGATGAACATTTGCTAGAAGCAGCAGCTTGCTTGCCATGGAAGCTATCCAAATTGCGAGACTGGGATGTGTCTGCACTTGCCTGGGCTTATCAAGAGCTCGATCCCATGGAAATACACAAGGCCTTTCAGGTCAATGTGCGCAGAGAAATTGCACGACGAAAACTAACAGAAGCGCAGGTGATGCAGAGCCAGCATGGATATGAAGAGTGGTACTCTGGAAATTCCTCCACTAAGTAGTGTTTTGGATGAATGTTTGGAGGCCAGACCTGTCTTGCGAGAAGAAAAGGACGATCAAGTGTGAACCTTTCACATGGACCAGTCCCTTCTGATTCGTTGCCACCCGGCATTTGGACAGCCGCAAAAAAAAGATCCCGGCATTTGGAGGTAACTTGTTTCGATTTTTCTACTTGGTTCCAAGTAGCAGAATTTAAATCGCTAGACGAAGCTGTGAGGCTGGGTCAGTTGTGGGCGAGGCCAACTCAACCTCTGCGAGCAAACCTGTCATGTTGTGTGTTGGCCGATACTGGAACTACTTAAATACTCATGCACCTAAATAAAATCCTTATCCACCTAAAATAAAGCCCGAAACGCTGTAGTTTCATTAGTATGACAAGCAGTCCGTCCAATTCTTTGTAAGGTGTCCCAGGTGGTCCATGCAGGAAGACGAGAAGTCCCATGCCTTCACCGTTCCAGAAACGCATTTCCCTCGTTGCAAGTGCTCCAGATAGGGGTTCCTCTGCTCTTCCGTTGCTCCTTGTCAGTGCAGGGAGGTGCTCCCAGTGTTCATCGACTTACCCTCCATCCTTTCGGTGGGGCCACTGCCGGATCTTCAAACGAAACCCACAGCGCTTCGAACGACTTCCGACTACCGGATGCCGTCCGGACCCCGGCAGTCGTTTGACGCAGTGTGGCTGCGAGGTGGACACTCCCGGGCTGCCGAGCAGTTAAGTGCCTTGGCGCCTGAATGAGGACAAGTTCCTCTAGGTTCTGTATGCAGAAGTGATAAGAAGTGTATGAATAACAGGGAATGTAATTTATTCCTTAGTCCTTTGTGGGTGGTTTGACTGTCAGTCAGAGTCTGTTTGTTTTGTGCGGATTCTATAGCAGAAGCGACCTCTCCTTTGATTCCGCAAAAGCCATTAAACTTGCTTGGCCATGTACAATGTGCTCATGGGGCCAAGTTGGCCAATCGCAGTACAGCCTGAATTTGTGTGCAGCCTGGAATGGGTTCTGAATGTCATAGAACATGTACACAGCATTACACAGCATGGTTCAGCTAAAATATGGATTGATTATGCTGGAGTCGAGCATGACCTTCCTTCCAGCCGGTGCCTTGGAAAACCCAAGTTACCATTTGACCGTGCATTCTGCCTCACCTATCAGGAACCCAAGATTGTTGTGGAGACCCTGCGCACCGTTAGGTTCCAGGTCTTTTGGTTTTGTTCCACTCGCTTCGTACGAAAAAAGGGACTCCTGTGGTGACCCGCAGTGGTGTTTCAGATCTCTTGTCCCTCAACACAACCTTCACCAGGCGTTTCAGATTGATCCGTGTGATTCGAGAAAAGTGCTTGTGAGTCGAGAATGTAACCTGGGTTGTCGGCCAAGCAGATACATGAGGATGACGTGCAACTTGTGATGTTTGGTAACAGGATACACCCACATCCTTTCCACGACCAACAGTTGGGATCTGTTAGGATGATCGTTTGTTTTTCTGGTTGGTCGAAAAAGTCCGAGGAGATTGGCTGAAAGGCCTGGGTCGGAAATCCAGAAATGAACTATGAACAGAGCGGGGAAGGAGCCAGTTAATCAAATACGGTTTGGTATGGTGGGGCGTTCCAGGTGATGCTCAAGTTCTTCCATCAACAGCATGTTCTATTGGATGTGTTGTGGAGGTACTTTCTGGCAAGTTGTTGCATGCTCGGAGAAACTAAGGCGCGTTTTTGCCTATAGCTGGGCTGTGGTATTGCTATTTCAGCGTGCCTTGCAGGGAAGGGTTGCTGAGCAAAGTGTTTTGTGGGAGGTCTTTGTTCTTTGGAGTCTGTATACCGTATACCTCCAACCTTGTTACCTTCGTAGCTTACAGTCCGTCTAACCAACATGTATGTGTTGGTTTGTTCTTTTGTCAAGAGGCTCTTAAGGCGACCAATGCCCATCTCGAGAGACATGGCACCAAATCAGATCCGGGGGACAGATAGAGTTCAGCCTTCCCTTTCGCCATTGGCATTGGGCTGTGTTTTTGAAGTACTTCTTCTTTAGGCCTACATTTCACAGTCCATGGTTGGAGAGGCTGCACGTAAGCAATGACCTGTAGCCGGACCTACCTTGACATCAGGTTTTATGGTGAATATTTATTGCTGTTAAAGGAAAGCCTCTTATGATCTCTTATGTGTGTAACCGCTCTATTGCTTACAGACAGCTTTCGGAGGTTCCAGGTGGTGCAGACTGTCTTTCCCATTCGCCATTCTTTCCGGGACGCAGATTTGCCAGGATTTGCCATCGTGATCTTCTGCATGCTGATGCCTCAAGATCAGGACGTGGTGAACCCTGCTGTTCGGCCGTCGCGACCGACGAATGGACATTCGGTCGAAAATGAAAAGGACAGGCCGTCCTCGTCAGTCGATGTTTAGTGTGGCCACCAACACCGATGGGGGTGTTGGTATTTGTTGAATAGAGCGGTTGGTCTTTGTGGTGAGAGGATTGGTCGCCAAAGGGGTCTCTCAATGATTCGCGCCAAATTATTTTTTGTCGTTTTTTTGTGGCATGTTGCAGGTGCACTGAAACACTTCGTCGGGGTCTTGCGCCCTGACAAACCTTGACACAGACTGTGAAACCTTGACAAACCTTGAAGACTGGTGCCAGGACTTTGCAATCCCTTTGACTTACCTGTTAGTCAAGCTGGTGCCGGGCAGCCTAACCATGTCGGACGACCTTGGCCAGAGAGGAAGGCAAAAAAATGGAGAGCTGCCCTCGACGAAGTTTGATGTTTCGATTGTGCTTTTTGCCCCGCTTATGTGCTTTTGCAATTTTTTGCCAGCTGGAAACCAAACGTCGCTCATGCACTTGGATGGGAGTAGATGAGTAGTAGATACGATTCAAGGATAATTTGCGTTGGTTGTTGTTGATAGCAACCTGTGCAAAGATGAGGTATAATATGAATGCCGGAAAGCATTCCGGATTCACCCCCATTGTCACCCTTTCACCATCTTTCACCGTAACAAAAACCACCTGGTGCCACTGCAACCCGAAAGCTCCTTGACGGACGGCTCCTCCATATGTCCCTCGAGGGCTTGCTACGGTCGGTGTTCTGAGGTCTTTGCTCGCGGAAGCCTCGTTACATCCCTACGTTTGGACCTTCTTGAACGACTGGGAACCTTGGAGTCCTCGATCGGACGAATTCCGCCGCGGAAGGCGGAAGTCCGAATGAAACAGGACGGAAGGCGTTCGGGGACGAAAGACGTTTGGAGCTGAGCAATGCTCCACCCCAGGGTCTGTCAACTTGATGTTTCGATGTGCATTTCTCCTGCTGGTTTATTTGATAGGTTTTCTGAAAGGTTGCTCACGTGTCCTACTGTTTTAGTGAACTTATTAATCCATCTCCTTCTTGGGTACCATTTGTCCGTGCTTTGGGATTGCGACTCCTTTGACAGACACAGATCCCCCATCTAGAGCTGTGCTGGGTCAATCCTTGTAGGATTCCGTTTTTGGAACGTCGTGCCATGGGTTTGGGCCAGGAAACTTGAATGGGTGGCAGTGCCTTTTAGAATTGCTGGGATGGGATGGGAATTCTGAATGCCGCCCAGACTCTTTCTGCAAGGCAAGGCCATTCTAGCCACACAACACCTTGATCGCTCCAACACGTGATTTCTTGTTTGTTTTGCTGTCCCCCAGACCATAGACACCCAAACATATAGAGGACGAGTTCTCCATGGGTTCATGATGGTTCATGTTGACCCTCCAGGTTTCTTTGAAGAAAGAACAGTCTAAGTTTGAGGCTCTGTGATGATGAAGCGGTACATTCAAAGTGTCGTCGGGTAAACAGATACATGACGATGCATTGGTGTTTCCTTTTGGCAGAAGCGTGTGTACAATGCAAGATCTCGAGGGATTTGGCAGTGGACTTGTCCAAAAGCAACGGAAGTCTCGAGAGAACTTCCATTGTTTCTAGCACCCGCAGTTCTTTTCAATGTTGCTTTAGGGAAGGTGAGGGCATTTTTTGTCACTCCTTGCCAATGTAACATGTCTCAAATTTTCTCATGGAATGACTCATCCTCGCACACCGACTCGTTTCACCCGCAGGGTTCTAATCTACGTGTTCGAGAAGGAATCTCTAGTGGTGAGTCACTTTTATACTCCCATCTCCACAATGAAGAAGTATCACCGTGTGTCCTTCATCCATTTGATCCATGAGGAAGTGTCCCTGCATGCTCTGATTTTTGTGCTGCTTGGCGTAGCACCGGAATCCTGCCAAGTGGGCCATGGTGAATGGGAAGACTTGTGTTCACAGTGAGACCGTAAATCAATCTACCACCACACCTTTGAGCCTCCCATGGCCGATTATGAAGACATTTGGGTTGCAGTATGCTTGCATGGAGATAGAGTTCAAAGGATCAAGCTAAATCATTGGTTGCGGTGCCTGTGGAATGCTGGAATGCTGCCACATTATGGATCTGTCAACAGTCCCAGAATGTTTGAAAACTACGCTTTGATAATCTTCTGATGCAACTTCATATCCAACAACGGCATGGCCACATTGTGAAATGCTGGCCAGGCACACACTTGAAAACCCGCTGAGCAAACGAATGTCTCAGCCAGGATATTTGGACCTCTCAGCCGTGATTAATTACGATCAAGGATGATAAAGGTAGTAATGACTCAGGTATGATCAAGGTGATGCTTGCTTAGCTGCAATCAAAACTCTTGTAGCGAATCATTGACTGCTTTCATGAGAAAAGCAAAGCAGGGACCCATTGGACAGCGTAATCAACAGTAAAACAAAGCACAGGAACTACCGCATTCACCAAGTTGGGGGTTGTCTTCGTTGGCCAGAGACCCCCACCGGGCTCCGGCCCCCTGCGCTTGTTTAAGTATCCAATTGCACAGGCGTATTTGTTATCAGACGCACACACACAAAAGGGCAGTTAGGTTGATGTCTTTTCTTTGAACCGTTGCATCAAGACATGAGCCATCTTCCAAAGCTGTGGCTATGTGGGAAGTTTGTCAAGCTGTGCGGTTGTGTGAGAAATTCCATCCTTTACCACGCAGCTTGCTTCGCTTATGACTGCTTTAACATGCTTTAACCCTGATTCAAACATAGCACAACTATGTGTTATATACTATATTATGTAACTCAATGTTGTGTCCACTGTCCAGCTCGGCACTTCAATGAACCTTAGGTTCATGCTCTTTGTGTCCTCCAAATGGTCCGATCATCGGCTGCAAGCACCGAACGGCTGGCGCACCGATTGCCGCCGTCGAACGGATGGGCGTCGAACAAGAGGGGCCGTTTCAAGGATCAATCAAGACTGATAGAGAGGGACCATATCTATCATATTTATATCATTATCTATCCAATTCAATCTGATCAGTCCTATGTTGCCAACTGGCGGATGGCGAAGTGGATGGCATGGACCGTTGGCATGAAGTATGCTCGTTGACGAACAGAGTGGTGTTCCACTTCCATGGAACGTGAGTCGGAGTGTATCCGTTGGTACTCGGTGGTGTTCTGATGGATGTATATAGATCTATGAATGTATTCCGCTTCGTTCTTCTGACATCTAAAAGGCAGGAGGGGGCCAGAACGGTCTGAAACAACGAATATATAGAAAAGAACAGGAATTTGATGCACTTGTGTTTGTTTGTCTCCTCAGGCATGACCAACCCCCAACTCACAACTGCACACACCCACAATTATCGTTCAAGATTCGAAACGCCAATCAAGATCCATGGGCACCATCTATGGACAATTGTAGAATACATGTCTCACTATACTCTGGTGCCCACTTCTGAACCCACTTTGCACGGGTGGGGCTGAAGGAGTTAACCTGTGACATCCTCGTAGTCGTCGTCACTGGCTGTGCTGTGGTGCCGCTGATTTTGCGCCTCATCGAGCTGCTGATCTGCAAGGACGGGCGGGAGAAGCTTCCCTACGGGAGTGGGTGGAGGAGCAGGACACGGTTTAGAGGAATGACCGGAACAGCCAAGGCTTGGAAATCTAGAACCCTGAAACACGAATATACCTCACATATGAGGCCATATGAGGCCTACTTCTAGGGACAGGAACTGTTTGTGGAATGCTGAGGCAGCTCATCAAAGCGACGTCCTTCGACCGAATCTCACCGATGGATCCCGTGAAACGTCCTCCTTTCGGGTCAGCGTCCAACTCGAACTCCGACACACTGAGTGGGTATTAGTCATTATCGGTCCATGGGGCGAAGACGATCATCATGTGTCTGATCTTCGGAGTCCGAGGTTCTTTTAGCGGGGCGGGGGCATCGAAGCCCATTCTTTTGGGCCATGAAGATGAGATTTTGCGCGTGTTTTGCTGCAGCTGGTCGTCTTGAAAGGAGGCTTTTGTAATGGTACTTCTCAGAATTCACTCTAGAGAGCTGGTCAAAAAGATCCTGGAGGCTATGCTGCCCTTGGAACGTTCATCCTCAGGATATTTGGTTGTTTTGATGTGCATCTCCATCGATTCTCCCCGGTCCCACGCCTGTAGACATCGACGACGAGGTGATCCAACTCGGAGCCTCGCAGCAATTCATGCCATGCCCTATCAACTGGCACTGTCTCAAGCCGACCAGTGACAGGATGCCATTGAAGACCCGACGGATATTAGCATCAGCATAGATGAGGCGCCGGCAGAGCCAAAATCGCTTTGGGGCCTGAAATGGTGAACTACCAGGAACAAGATGGAACAAGAAGCTACTGTAACAAAGGGCATCGCTACTAGGAGCAAGAAGCTACTAGTCACCTTGTCTGTACTGTCCAGGCAGCAACCATAAACCATCATAAAGCAAGGAAATGCTGGCTTTTTTGGGGGGGCCTTGTCCATGGTGGTTGATTCATGCGGACTTGAAGGGCCATTCAAAATATTTCAAGACTTTCATGAGAAGCTGTCGAAACTCTGCCAGCTGACCTCGATCACCTCGGGTCGTGTTTTTTCTCGGAACAAGCTACGCGCGTTGGACCCTCCAAGACTGAACGTAAGAGAAAAGATCTAAAAAGATCCTGCAAAGATGTGGAGTGCAACCTCCAGGAAACTGCACCAAAAACACTCATTCGTTTGACCTACGCAGAACTCACTGAGAAGAATCCGCTGAGAAGAATCCGCTCAGCTGCAATCTCTCAGGCGAAATCGGTGCCATCCTATCACTTGGAACAGCTGGATCCGGAGGACCTTGAAAGGCGGTGTATTTTTGGTTTCGACAGATGACGCTATGCCCCATCCCCTCTCTAAAAAGCTGTGTGTTCAGTGTCTGTGTGTGTGTGTGTGTCCACCCCTGGACAAAGGGTCTTCCACCACCACTCTTTC